GCATGAGCTTCCAGGCTATATTGCCTCGTGGTAAAGTGTGACGTTATTCTCATGTAATAGTAGTTGTATGCGTTTATGATAGTCGTAACGTGTGGAATAATGCTTTCCGGGAGGCATTTTTAAAAGTAACTGGCCCCAATTTAGATGCTACAGACGTGGAGAAAACGCGGAAAACTCCACATGGCCAGTCCGTCCTGGCGAAGCACGAACCCAGAACACTGGGGAATTCTCAGTGTTCAGGGAATAAAACCGCTCGGCCACTGGTGGGTGTGAAAACCCTTTCTGTACGTGTGATCCCCAAGCATTATCTAATTAGTTCTAACGAGATACAGGCAGTTTACTTACTTTCTTCTTTCTATGGAAAAAAGTGTCTATGCTACTATTGTATATTTATATTTGTTATATTATGTATTATGCATTTGATAAAAAATGTATCCTTCAGGAAAATAGTGTATATTGCGTTTGAAGNTACTTTCTTCTTTCTATGGAAAAAAGTGTCTATGCTACTATTGTATATTTATATTTGTTATATTATGTATTATGCATTTGATAAAAAATGTATCCTTCAGGAAAATAGTGTATATTGCGTTTGAAGAAATACAAAATATACAGTACAATTTACAATTTTTCATTATTGCATATGTATTAGGTGAGTACGTGCCCAATTAAATTTCCTTTATTTTAGCAAATAGAGAGATATGACAGATGAATTACAATAAAAAATTATATATATATATTCCCGAACATGCGGAATACAATATTAAAATAATGTATTAATAAATGAAACTGTGAGAACGTATGCGAACGGGAACAAGAACCCGGATTTGATTCATTACTATTAAAATAAATTTTGCAATTATTTAAATCAAATTCGGTAGTTTGTAATTTGGATTAATATCTCGTACTGGCGACATACCAGAAACTTTTGTTGTAAACTGAAAATAAAGAGGTTTCCCGTAACCAATTTTGGTACTAGCTTCTATGGTACCATTATACTTAGTAGCTGGGTGCAAATTAATAAATGTACAGCTTCTAGTGTTAGGATTTGTTAACTTCTCTTGTGTGCTTCCTATAATACTATTATTGAAGGACTCTGCTACAGTGATGTTTATCTATAAATAATAAAATAAAATTTACTGTTTTTATTAGAATTTTTAAAAATAAATAAGAATTATTTCTCAAAGAAGAAAATAAAACAATTTAATTCCAAACGTGAAGTTTTAGGTTGTTATATTTTTAACATGTTACATACGGCAAGAATTATTGATTTAAATATATTAATAATATGAAAAAATATACCCTGTATCCAGTCAATTGTCCATTTGATCTTACGGGTAAAGACCAGATAATATCCACCGAATGTTCCGTAATATTAGCTATTTCTGTCTCTTTAGGTGGATCTGGTACTAAAATTATGAAAATAAATCTGAAAATCAACTTATTTCATAGATATTTAAGTTATATTTATATAAATAGCAAGAATTAAAGAAAAGACATAAAACAAATAATAATTTCTGTTTACCATATTCTTTTGTTTCACCACTTGTAGTGACTGTTTCACTTCCGCCATAAATGTGTTCGTTATATGCTGTGATCTTAATTATAAATATGATGAACATATAAGTAATAATGGAAAATGGTATAGATTAAAATTATATGGAAAGCTAAAGTTAGTTAAATAAGGTTGGAAACAGGAAATAAGTTATATAGACCATAGAGTTCTTTAGAATTTTGCGTGTTATTGTTATTGCTATTTTGCTTTTATCTAAGGGTTTGTTATTGGGGGCAGCTCTTTCTTGTCTGCTGGACAATACCTGCATTAATTAAAAAACATATATATATATATATATTCACACTAAAAATACCTCAGTATTTAAAATACTAAAGAATTTTTATTTCAAATGTACGGTAGTTGCCTAGTAAAGATTATTCCTAAATTTCTGGATGAAATCATTTTTCACATTTAATCGAATCTCGACTCTTATAGTAGTTTTTAAAACACAGATATAAAAATCCTCGAGAAAAGTTAAGTAAGTTATATATTTGAAATGTGAAAACCCTTGTCTTATAGTAGCTACTTGGACATGAGCTTCTAGGCTATATGGCCTCGTGGTAAAGTGTGACGTTATTCTCGTGTAATAGTAGTTGTATGCGTTTATGATAGTCGTAACGTGGGGAGTAATGCTTTCCGGGAGGTATATTTAAAAATAACTGGCCTCTGTTCAGAGATACAGACGTGGAGAAAACCCGGAAAACTCCACGTGGGCAGTCCGTCCTGGCGAGGCGCGAACCCAGAACACTGGGGAATTCTGAGTGTTTAGGGAATAAAACCGCTTGGCCACTGATGGGTGTGAAAACCTTTCGTGTACAGTACGTGTGATCCCCAGGCATTATCTAATTAGTTCTAACGAGATACAGGCAGTTTACTTACCGTGTTTCCCCGAAAATAAGACATCCGCAGAAAATAACACCTAGCACAGATTTTGCTGAATTGCGAAATATAAGACCTCCCCCTGAAAGTAAGACCTAGCGAAGTTTTTTTTAGTCGTAACGGTCATCGACAGATGGTTGACAGTTGCCGTTGGCTTTTTGAAAGTACAGCCACTGATTGGTCAGCAGATAATTACGCCACACGGCATGATTTGCATAAGACTATGGCTTGGGAATCATAGATTTCCATAACATTACGGCTGGTGATGGCTAATTGGTCGGCCGGGAATCACGCCACATGACATTTGCATAGTGCTACGGTTCAGTAAGCACTAATTGGTCATCGAGTCCGATGTTGACGCTATAAAAAGGCGACAGTTCGACACACCGAATATACGTCACTTTCGTCTGAGTTCGACTTGGGAATTTTTTTGTTCAATAATAAATGTGAATTCTTCTTCCTGGAAAAAATAAGACCTAGCGCATTTTTCAGAGCAAAAATTAATATAAGACACTGTCTTATTTTCGGGGAAACACGGTACTTTCTTGTTTCTATGAAAAAAAGTGTCCATGCTACTATTGTATATTTATATTTGTTATATTTTGTATTATGCATTTGATAAAAAATGTATCCTTCAGGAAAATAGTGTATATTGTGTTTGAAGAAATACAAAATATCCAGTACAATTTACAATTATTCATTATTGCATATGTATTAGGTGAGTACGTGCCCAATTAAATTTCCTTTATTTTAGCAAATAGAGAGATATGACAGATGAATTACAATAAAAAATTATATATATATATTCCCGAACATGCGGAATACAATATTAAAATAATGTATTAATAAATGAAACTGTGAGAACGTATGCGAACAGGAACAAGAACCCGGATTTGATTCATTACTCTGACGAGGTAGGGTAGTAGAGCTGGCTAATTTGGTATGTTATGAAGAATGTTTCACCTTTAATAAAGCAGTTGATGTTTATCTCTAAAATCAGGAATGTTGGCTTCAATATTATAGTACCAAATTAATGTTTAATTTACATTATAATTTTATTTAATAAATAATAAATACGAACGTTTATATTTAAAATTTAGACGTTTCATTCTATTTGAAATTAAAATTGAAAATTATGAATTCAATAAGAATAATATTTTTTTACTTTTCATAATAATGATCTAAATATGTTTATATAATATAATAATTACAATACCTCGATTTTATATTTTTGATTTCCTTTTAGATCAGTTAAAGTGTAGCAATGTCGACTTTTTCTGATATCGTCTAAGCACTTAACTTCATTAGTATTAACTACTTTTTGTGTTTTCCGACAATAAGAACTTTCAAGTGAGCAGTACTCTATAACATATTTCTGAAGTACTCCATTTGGAGGATAAGGAGGAATCCAAGACATTGATAAAATGCTTTCCGTGCTGAGAAAAATCGTGAAATTTGTAGGTGCCGGTGGTTCTTCGTGCATAAAAAATAATTTTTTATATATTAGTTCAGATGTAAAAAAATAACTAAAAATGTCTATCGGATTTAATCGTTAATAAAATACTTACTGTCACTTTTTGTTGTAAAATCAATTTCAGCAGAGTATTTGCTAAATCCGATTTTCGTTCCCGCATAAACTCGTGCCGTATAAACAGTGAATGGAACAAGATTATAAACATATTCGTAAATCTGTGTTGTTTTTCCACTTCTCTTCCTTTTTTCCCAAGGATCCTTTGAATTCAAAACGTATTGATATTCTATTATTTTTCCATAAGAGAGAGAACACAGAGGCGGTTTCCATTCTATTCCCACGCGATCCTTTTCAATATTGAAGTGTCTTAGGTTCTGAGGAGGTCCATCGGGAACTGTATTCGAAAACTTTCGCCTTATATATTTTGAATTTTTGATATTTGTGTTTAAAGCTACAGGACTTACCACTTTCTTTGGTCATAACATTTACAGAAGCTTCTTTCCCTTCTTTTACTGTTAGTGCAGAAACACTAATCGTGTATTTAGAATTTGGATAAGTTTCAATGATAATTGAATTTTCGTTTGCGTCAACATCTTTCGTTAAAGCAGAATTATTAACTGATGTGCAAGAATGAAGCCATTTTTCTTGTCGATAACGAACGATGTATTTGACGATGATTCCGTTTTCTTTGTTAGGCTTGTCCCAGGTGAGATAAACCCGACTATCGGTAACATTGTGTGCATTTAAATTTTCCACCTTTGAAGGAGCTAAAATAAAATGAATTTAATCTTGAAAATTAAAATAACAAAACATCTTATTTAATAATAATTTTTAAATTATAGAGGAGAAGGTGGTATTATGGAACACTGCGGGTATTATGGAACCACCTCATTTCGAACTGATAATAAAGGCGAACTGTAGCGGAATGTGGCTGAACTGAACTAGGCAGACATCCATAGCAAGGGGAAAACCCGTTTTACTTCAGTTAAACGGTTGTCCGTATTTAATCAGCAAATTTGTTTTTTTCAAAATTCACAAGTTTTGAATGCTAAGTGAATTTAATTATTTTTAAAATATAAATCGTGTAGTTGTAGGTTCACTGGTGCATGTATTCCGTTCCAGAGACTTAGGGGTACATATTAATCTGTGTGATGTTCACGTTTTTTAAATTTTGGATCTCGACAGACATAAGTTAATTCGAGATGGCGATGCGTGAAATACGGACCCCTTTGGTGCTTTTACAGTAATATGGAACTCAACTCCTCCGAACTCTCTCTTTGCAATCAGACATTCGTCCTGAACAATTTGGGAAAAAGACACTAGGTAGAAAGTCTGAAAATATCGAAAAAGAGCTGCTGGAATAGATATTGTTGATGGAGGTCATATTTTTCTATTATAAAAGCATTTTTGCGATAAAATACATTGGTGTAAATAATTTTGTAATTATTTAACAATTTTTGTCCTTTCCTATTTGTTTTTGGCTACATTAAAGCATTTTTTTGAAAATATACAGTAAGGTTCCATATTACCACCCGATTTTCTTTAAGCCTACTTTCGGACTTTTTGTACAAAAGCCTTCAAAAACCATACTTATAATTACACTAGCGAAAAATCCAATTAGAAACATTTAGTTTACTAGTTACCAGTACTTTTCGCACAAAAAATGTGGGTGTAGTTATGATACCTTGTTTACAATTCACTAAAATGTAATTGGGGTTCCATAATACCACCTTCTCCTCTATTATAAATTATTTTTAATAAGCTAAAATTTTGCAAAGTGTTGTTAGAGTAACATATTGTAATAAAGTAATTTATGAAGTATAAAGGAATTTTAATCAATTGGGTTATTTATTTAATCTAGTTTTACCCAAATATTTGTAGACCCTTAACTGAAAAGTATAAGCATAAATTTATAATAACTACATGTAAAATAAATTCATAACGAGTATAAATAGAGAATAGTGTTTTAAAACAGTGATAAATGTAAGATATCACAGATTTCTTTGAAAGAATAGCATCAGAAGAATGAAAACGATGAAATATCCAAATTCGAAATAATATTACATGAAAATTAAAGAAAATTTACATCAAAGTCTTAAGCTACAGTACTCTAAATTCCAGTGATTTTGAATCAGGTGTCGCAACGACACTTCAAGGATGCCTCGAAATATAATGCTGAGTAACGAAATAATACTTCTTTCGTGTATTATGAAAAGTATGAAAAATACAATAAGTAAAGTTATATAAAATTAGAGTGCCACAGGAAAATATTTACCAAGTTGGTTTGTCACTATTGAAAATCGGATGAGAAACATCGATATATGTTTGTTTTATATTAGCATTTATAGACACAATTGTTTATTTTAATATAAATTAGTTTATTAAAAGAAATGTTGAATTTACCAAAGCTGCTGATGTTGTTAAGACAGTTATTATTACATTTAGTTTAGTAATTATAAATTTTATTGTAAATTTTATGTTAAAACGTAGCGATTCGCCTCTTTGTTTACTGTTGATAATTTTGGCACTAGTAGATGGCCAAAGGAGTGGAAACAATCCATTTTTATACCAATCCCAAAAAATGGCAATGCAAGAGAATGTTCCAACTATAGAACAATCGCACTAATTCGCCATGCAAGTAAGATTCTGTTTAAAACAATACAGAAGAGAATTGGGCCATATTTAGAAAGAGTATTACCACTGGAACAGGCTGGATTTAGAAAGGGAAGAGGAACTCGCGATCAAATTAGCAACATCACATGGATTCTATTGATAGAAAAGGCAAAAGAGTACCAGAAGGACGCCTTCTTTTGTTTTATAGACTATACTAAAGCCTTCGATTGTGTGGATCACTCCAAGCTATGGAAAGTACTCAGGAACATGGGAATTCCTGAACACCTTATATCTTTATTGATGAGTCCTTACAATGAACAAGAAGCAAAAGTAAGAACTCTATATGGAGAAACTGAATGCTTTAATATTGATAAAGGGGTGCGACGAGGCTGCATTTTGTCTCCATATCTGTTTAACTTATATACTGAATATATCATGAGAATGGTTACTACAAATGAAGAGTCCATTGGTATCAAGATTGGAGGCGAAACTATTAATAATATAAGATATGCAGATGATACCACCCTTTTGACAGAAAGCAAAGCAAATTTAGAAAAACTTATCATAACGGTAAAAGAAGAAAGTGCTAAATTTGGTTTGAAGCTAAATGTAAAGAAAACTAAAGTAATGTCAACTAAAGAGTTAAAAGATTTCATTGTAGATGGTGAAAGAATTGAAGTGGTAGAAAGTTGCATACTTTTGGGCTCAAAGATAGAAAGGAATGGAAGTTGTGAAGGAGAAATCAGAAGGAGAATTAACCTTGACAGAACAGCCATGGCAAATCTCACCAAGATAATGAAAGATAAAGACATTTCCATTCATACTAAGAAAAGAATTGTAGAAGCAATGGTTTTCCCTGTAACATTATATGGCTGTGAAAGCTGGACTCTAAGGAAAAAGGAAAGAAAACTGATAGATGCATTCGAATTATGGGTATGGAGAAGATTACTTAGAGTTCCATGGACAAAAAGAAAACAAATATCTCAATTTTAGAAAAATTAAGCCAAGCTTCTTCTTAGAGTCAAGAATCTTAAAACAAAAATTGACCTACTTTGGACATGTGATGCGTAAAGAAGTTTCCCTAGAGAAGACTATTATGCTGGGTAAAGTGGAAGGTAGAAGGAAGAGGGGAAGGCAACGGATAAGATGGATGGAAGAAATTGAGAAAGTCACAGAAATGAAGCTGGAGGAGCTACGAGAGACAACAAGGGAAAGATCAAGATGGAGAAGACTTGTCCATGAAGTCACCAGGAGTCGACGACGACTCGATGGAACTTAACAACAAAGATGGGTGTTAGATTACAAACAAAGTAATACGCGTTCTTCGACTTCACTAAAACTCGATACAAGAACGATAGTGACATTTATCGACTATAAAAGTGATGTCAAGGATACGAAGTATGTAGAGACCAAGTTCGAGAGTTCTTCTAGTACTGTGTGAGAACAAGTCGCAAACATGCCGTAAACGGGTGAAGGAAGTGTGATGCGTTAACCGTTCGATTAAGCTTTAACGTAGCTTTAAAATAAGATTTGAGAAATCTACGTTAGTAGACTTCTCAAATCTTATTTTACGTTAGTAGATTTCTCAATTTAGAATCAAAATTTACAATAAAACTACCGCAAATCTTATTTTAAAGCTATGTTAAAGCTTAATCGAACGGTTAACGCATCCCACTTCCTTAACCCGTTAATTTTGTTCTAAAAATATATTCGTTTAAAAACTGCTCTCCCTGGGGTTCCAGTAATCGTCAGGTGTTCGAAAACAAGGTTTTTAATGTACCAGCCTCTAGACCGAACTTGCTACAAGTTTGGTCTCGAGGCGGTATGTATGTGCCTATTTTGTATGTGTAAATTAAATGTGTTTAACATATATGAAGGAAGTATAATAATGGATTTACTTATAGCACGTTGTAACAACAGTTGATTAACATTTGTCGATTTTTAATAATTGTAAAATTAAAGATATTCACAACCGTAGCCGTAGCTTAGTTGTCTACCTATTTCAAGATAGGCTATAATTTTAGATCTTGTATGTCACTTCACAGGTATGTCGAAACTATCTCAAAATGAGAGGTGTAAAACGGAAAATTTAATTTGTAGACCAGTGTTTCTCAACCTCTAACGAATCGTCGCCCCTTCAATAAAACCGTTACGTAGTATCACCCCCTTCACTTCAAAATTCCGATGCCGAGGGCCAAGGCTAACGCCAAATTCGTACTGCATTGAATAGACTAGTGACTAGTATAATGTTATTTGTTTAATTATTGTACGATCTAACGAATAAAATATCTAATTATTCCTAATATAATGTTTTACTATATCGCCCAGAAAATTGTTTTTCGCCCCCCAAATATAAATTGTTACTAATCGCCCCCTCAACATGGAAAAACGCCCACAGGGGGGGCGATATCGCCTCCGTTGAGAAACACTGTTGTAGACGAACTGATGAGGAGCAGTAAATGCTCAAAACGTGTCTTAATCAATAAAAAAGATCTTAAACAGTTTAGTGTTTTCTTCTGCATTACATTGTGTTTTAAAAACGTATAGAAATTAAAAACAATTAAAATATAAGCAACTAAACATAGAAAGCAACTTAAATATAATTATGGTAGCCGTGGCAGATAAATAAGGAAAAAATTCAGCGGATGGCGGCTATTTCATTTAATATCTCAGGATAAGGAAAGAATTAAGAAAAGAAATTTAGCACGGCAATTTGTGTATAAGGATCGTTGATGCTATTAAAGTTCGTTATTAAAGATCGGGATGGGGAGATAGGAGGAGGTCATATGCCATATCGCGAGTGGAGTCGGACTGAATAAATTTTTGCTCTTTCTTCACGTTTATAATTTTTTAAAAAATCTCAACTCTACCCTCAACATTAAGCCTTTTGTCTTTTTATAATAATTAATAATATAAAAGTTATTTTTTAAATACAAACTCATAACAGATAAAACCACACATAATATCAAATTTGTGCTCTTATGTCTTGTTAGTGTTTCGTAAACATATATTTTTTTTTTCATCGAAAAAATTATGCAACTCGTTTCTTGATTTATTATTTAAAATTCAAATTGTTGACATGCATTTAAATTCAATTGTATACATTTAAATAACCGAATGATTTTTTAAGTTTCTAATCATAACAATTATAACTAATCGTTATTGAACAACTTACCGTCTTGAGCAGAGATAACGTTAATCAACGATGACCATTCACTAAAAAAATCTTCGTTACCAAGTCTTAATGCTATATTCCATTCTGTAAATGGTTCAGTTGTTATAATAAAACTGTTATCAGTCTTATTCTGGCGGAAACTTTTTCCGTTGGAAGAATTATAAAATATATTAACATAAATATTTCTACAGTTCCAAGTTTCTTCTAAAGGAAGCTGAAATTTTAAAAATCTTGTCTTAAAAAAACTATAATAAAAATACTGTAACATTATTAGAATTTAACATATGTTTTTAATTTAAAAAATGATTAAAAATATATAAGAATATTCTGAATTTATAAATATATTTAATTATTTACCATCAAATTCGCGAAAAGAATGTGACATTGTATACTTTTAATAAAAAATGTATCATCCGTAAAGAGCTTATCGTCAAATTAAACTACTAATTACACTAAAAATCACTTATTAATAATCTATTATTTTTAATAAGTGGATACTTTAAATTACAGTCAAATTCGTTTAATATAAATTACGAATATTGTTATCAGTTGTATAATGTTATGATAATTAGCAGGTCCCAAATCATATAAGTTAACTTATACATGTAAAGCTTTATCTATTCTAATCAGTTTTGATTATAATTATCATCTTTTTTCATCTAATTATCATCTAAGCTTTTTCTCGCTATCAGCCTCAATATATAATGCGTAATCATAATCAATTATGGATATCAGTCATAGCCAGTGCTTGTTAAATGTTTAACGTTAGCGTTTTAATTGTTGTTTATTAGCAGTAAAGTAGTTTAAACTGCTGGCATTTTATTCACTGAATTATGAATTTTCTCAATACATATCTAAAATTATTTAAACACGTTGTATTAATATTAGAATTAATGAAACCGAGTGTCCACTTATTATAGGCTTATTTACTTATTTCGCTTAATATTATCATTCACGATGGCCAAATTATAGAGGAGGTTAAGGAGTCAACATATCTTTCTGCAGAACTGGGTTAGAATCTCGGCGAGCAACCGTAGGATTTTTTCATTAGCAATCTGTCTCAGATATGTTAGGTCCCATCCTTCATTATCCAACCACTCCATTGTGGCCAAATAATTGGGAAAACTAGTCACTATTTAAGCGTTAGGATATATATATAGTGTATATATATACATATACACTATATATAGTCGAAAAGTCTATAGTGTATATATATATATACACTATAGTGTATATATATATATANAGGTAGAGACGTCTAATTAGAGAAAAATCTAGTCGAAAAGTCTATAGTGTATATATATATATATATATACACTATAGACTTTTCGACTAGATTTTTCTCTAATTAGACGTCTCTACCTTATACAGTGTAAACGTTAATAAAAGCTCTAGTGAAACTTTTCAGCTCTTGGCAGAGTACCACTGTTATAACTAGAGGGATAATTTAAAAGATATTGAGAGAGCCAAAAGCGGAACAGCTTTACTTTGAGCAAAATTGACCTCTCACAATTTTCTACTTACAAGAAAACTTACATTAAGATAGTCCAAAATGAGTCATGAGCACAAGATGCTAGTAATATGAACTAATATGAACTCCCATTATTCTTTGAAGTACAAGAAATTAAAACAAACTCACCGAATATTGAACAAGTAGCCTACTTTGTATATTAAAATTTATCGCATTAAATGTAGACCTACACAATAGTTTGTTTTATTAGTAGAATAAAATGATGTTAAAAATTGAGAGTGTTTGTTTTGATTTTTCTTTCGTATATTTGCGAAAGACACATACGCAATCTAATTTTTCTGCAAGCTTGATTTTGTAGAGATGATAAATCTGAATGTAGTTTCTTGCCGCTAATTATGAAGTCATTTTATGTAACGTGGAACCCGCCGATATTACCAGCACCACAGGATTTCTTACACTCATTGCCATAAAAATTAGCTCGTCAATGAGAAGTTGTCGGAGTCTACCGAAATTCTACGTGTTGAGTGTAACGGTGATATAAGTAAGTGATTAATATAGCTATTGGCTGTCGTGGTTCCTTGGATAACTATTAGAAATGACCAGCTGTCGTATGTGATGGCACCCCAGACTATCACACCGGCTGTAGGGAGGTGTCGCTCCAAAGCGTTGGCAGGATTGAGGCATTCACCACGGGGCTTTTAGACACGAATCCGTCCGTCGTCAGTGCCCAAACCGATTCTGGATTTGTCGTTGTAGACAAGCCGATTCTATTCCGTTGTGATCCAATTCCTCAGGAGTGACACCACTTCAAACAGGCAACGGTGAGTGGCTGTCAATGGCATCACACGTAATAGCCGCCACGATACCATACGTTCCTCACCCAGTCGCCTCGAAATGGTACGGACAGACACAGTGGCCTGTAATGTTTGCTCTATCTATGTCCGGATGATGGACAACAATACGATCGGCTGTGTACGTTCCTGTCGGAGGACTAGGTGGACCCCTCGACTAGTGGTCTGCCGAATGTATCCTGAGCCTGAGCGCCGTGTGTGCGAGTTCTCTCTTGTCCACTGATCCCAACATCTACTCACAGCGTTGCCAGAATGGCCTTGGTGATGGGCTATTCGGCGAGATGACCATCCGGTTTTTTTCAATTCGATGATCTTTCCTCTCTCAAACTTGACTAGTTGTTCATATGGTCTTCGATTGTGAAGTAAAGGCATCTCTAGTGATAAGTTAACTACGATAGGTTAACTACAGGATGCCTTTGAGCGCTTTTTATAGATCAAGGGAGATGCAATTTAACGCCCTCTGCTGGCATTACGCAACGAGCCATCACCGTATCACTCTAATCATTTCCATATCTATTTGGGATTTATTTGCATACCGAGTTTCGCAGCGATACAACAACTCCTCGGTGCACTAAGTTTTATGGCAATGAGTAGATAATAAACATCGCCATTTTAAAAAATACTGAAGCCTACAACAAAACGAACAGGACTAAATATGTTTAAACACGCGAAGACGTTAAACGACAATATATAGGTGAGAAGTTCTAGCGCTTCTTCCTCGACCACCATTACAAAACTAGCGACACCAGCCTATCTACGACCATCAGGGAAATCTAATAAAGAAGCTCCAATTGTTAATACTATAGAGCAGATTTTACAGGTTCTACAGATTTTTCAAATGCAGATGTCTTCCATTTTACCACACTTTCCTCTACTATTAATCAATATTGTACAACATAATTATATAACAGACAATAGATTTTAATATAAGTATAAAAATTAAAAATTTACTTTCCAATTCACGACGATTTTTGTCGAGGATGTCGTATTTATCGAAATGTCTTTTGGTGGTTCTTCCGGAACTAAAATGGAAAATATTATTAAAACAATTAAACATTAATGCAAACAAATAAATAATTCGAGTTTAATTCGGAGTTTATTAGAATAATCAGCCCTTATTTTAATGATCTTACCTAAACAAAAAATTATTTTGAAAATTTTTATTTAATTTTTAAATATGAAAAAACTTATTTAATAGTTTTATATTTCATTCATTTTTAAATGTAAATTAATAATATACTAGTTTAAAATGCAATATATATACTATATGAGAATGATTTCATAAAGAAACTTTATGAAATCATTCTTGATCATTAACACATATCTACTACAATGATATTGTAATAAACATCAATACAATATTTTTAATTATATGTAAATGTGTATAGAATATATCGATGTTCTATTAAATGATAATAATCCACGCTTTATGAACGCTATGCTGTTGTGTCAGGTATAAATTTCTACCGTATTATGTAATATATGAAATGCTATATTTAAATAAGTATTTTTGTTGAATATTTTGATGTGTTATTACGCAATTCAAAGTTGATCCTATCCGTTGTTTTTGCAAGAATTTTCTTGTAGAAAATAACGAATAAGACACAGAAATAAGTACAGAAAATAAGCACAGAAATAAAAGTTTATTTCATTAAAAATAAAAGGTGATATCTGATAATAATTCTAATAAGATTAAGCTTTGTATAATTACGAATTTGATTATAAATACTTACTTCCACAGAGTGTTGATGCTTTCAAAATAGGTGCATCGTTCATTTGCGCGTGTCCACTTATGTCTTTAATGATAATTCTTATGATATAAGTTTTATCGGACTGAAGATTTGTCAAACTTACGATATAACTGTTATTAGAACTACTGTTTGCCTTTATTTCTTCGCCGTCCTCCCACTCAGAATTCTCCAAACCATTTTTCTATAATAAAATAAAACGCTTTGTATATTAGCTTTCAATACTGCAAATACACATTTTCTGTAGAAAGAGGGAAAGTTTGGTTTGGTTTAATGAGCTATTGCAGCGCAATGTAATGTGCTTCTGAAATATTTATAAGATTTACATGTTTAGTATGCTAGAATTCTTAACGTAGTATGATTATTTATTTAATTAAATTCAAAATTATTTATGTTATTTTAGTGTTTATTATAGATTAGACTTTTATTCAGAATGTAATGCAATTATACAAAAGCAATAAAAAACGAAAGTATTATTTTAATTATTTTATTAATACAATATAAATAAAAACTGCTTTGTAAATAAAAATCTTATTATTACTGTATATTTGTATGATCAATAATGAATAGCTGAATTAAATATATATGAATTTTTATGTGTTTTATAAATTATAGAATAAATGTAATTAATTAACGTTTTGATTAAAATAAAAATAATTAATTTTCTAAATAAAATATTAGCATATGCATTTTTAAATTCCAGAAATATTAATTGGTTCATTTAATTTATTTTATAATACTAACATTAATGAGAAAGTTTTCTTGTTTTTCTGATATTTAGTGTGCAATATACTTTCCAATTGATATAAATAAAAATCGCGTTCAGAAAGCTTTTTTAATTAATTTGATTTGATAAATAATTTAATTCATAAAATTAAATTATTAAATGAATAATATACATACTTTATATTGAACTGTATAATAATTCGGAGTTCCTGTTCCTTTATCTTTATCTTGTTCCCATTCCTGAAACGTCAATTCAATGCTATTTGATGTTACTGCTTTTACAGTTGGAGTATTTTTGAATACGGGATAACCTTTAATAATAAATTTATGAAAAAATACGACATTTAATTTTATTAGAAAACAAAATTCAAAACGTCAGTAAACATAAAATATTAATTAACACTTGATTAAGTATTTATTAATGCCGAAATAGAAAATAAAGTGTAGAAAGAATTTAATAAGTAGTTGAACTTAACATAGTAAATAATATAAAAAACGTTTCCTAAAATAATAGACCGTTCTACATCAGTATTGTAAATAAACTCATTAATTTCAACTTAAAAATACTTCAAATCTATATTAAAATAGAGCTGATATACAGGATTACCACAATAAGCCGACAAAACGAAATAGGTGGATGAAAGGACTCAATACAAGAATTTTAGTCATATGAACTGGGCCCACCTTACGAAATACAAGCTTCTATATATTTGGGTAGTGGTTGTTATTCTGAGATGCAGGAATATCATGCATTGAGAAGCCAGACATTATTAATTTTTTGTAAGAGCACCTTCGAATGAGCCATACTTCCACTTTATTTCAGAGAGTACTAACGTAAGAGGTCTAGGTTAGATTGTTAGTAAAGTTAAGTTAAACAAGTTCCAGTACTCATAAACTTATATGATTCATATTCTCTAAATAAAACTTTATTCTGTGTGTTACGTACGAGAAGTGCTAGTTTTATATTTACCAGTTAAGCATTTTTAAAGGTTGGTAACAAAGGTAAACCTGTTAGTCCTTAATATTTACTGACTTATCCAAAGCTGCAAAGGAAAAGAATTGTAGCAGTCAGCAAACCACTATAAGATGGCACTAACAATTCGGAATAGATTTTTATTTGTATGGAAATTTGACAAAGCATCACAAGTATGCCAGAAAAGTATCATCCAGGAAGGTTTAAAAGGGAAACTGGCTCCTATTCAAGTGTTAAAACTATCGTGGAATGCTGTTAATTCACACTGACTATCTTTCTACCAGTATTTGACATGCAATTAAACGTGGGTTATCAATCAATAAAGAAATAACAACTAACAAACATTATTGTGATTTTTACTTTTTTCTACATTTTTAAAACTGCTAAACCACGAAACAAGGCGCAAGACAACTGAACAAAGACTGTAGGCTTTCCTACAGTATAATTTTGATATTCACGACAGAGAACATTTAGGTAAGCAAAGAAACTTTAGGAGCCGACCATCTATTCATGAGATCAAAATTGCTTGTAAGACATATCATCACATTGACGAGTCCTAATATTAGTGTTACTTAAGAACTTTTAATTTATATTAAGCATATTTTATGTAAAAGCGCTTATTTTAAGAAAGAAATAAGAATAGTAAAACAAAGTTAATTCCATCCTGATACATTTGTCAGTACAAAATTATTACACACACGAAAGTAATACTGCATTTTCGATATATATATCTATATTCAATACGTCTTACTCACTTAACACACAAGGAGTTCCATGCCATCCTTCTTCACACCCGTCTGCACACTTGCCGGTTTTCGCTTCGCATTCGTTTGAATTTTTGCAATTAGAACATTTCTGAGTACATCCTGCACCATAGAATCCCGTAGCACACGCTGAAAGATAATATTTTCAAGCATCAGACAATATAATTTTGTAACTTTAAATAGCAATTTGAAATTTTGAAAACTTTACATTCATTGCAAAAGACAGAAGTGAAACCGCTGATGCAAGAACATCCATATGGATCTGGTAAGCAGAAGAGGATTTCTGCACAGTTAATTCCCTCGTTCTGGTCATTAAAGCATTGTTGGCTACAATCTTTTCCGAAGAATCCAGGCTCACAGGCTATCAAAAATAAAATTATTTCTTTTAATTTACGTGTAATATTTTTAAGACAAAATATTAACATAACATAAATAATACGAATTTTTTTGAAAATATATTCAATGCTTAATAATAAATTAATTAATCAGATGTTTTGCAAGTATATTGAGAAATTTATAATTAGACTTGGTAAAGTTAGTAAAATAAGTAGTATTTTCAAAAACCGAACGCACTCTAATTGTGTAGCAATCAAACATGATTTCTCTCGATTCATAACATCTAATTAGCTTCTTTACTTGTTGCTTTAATATATCACATTTAGTAATTCATCATTATATGTATTTTATATAATTTAACTCACAGCGGAGATAATCGTCCTTGCGAATGTAATATATTAAGTGTAATGATCACAATTTGTTGTTTACATAAATACTGCCTTATTTAACTTTCAGGTATGTACTAATAATATTTATACTAATAATATACATATAAATTTGTAACATTATAAAACATAAAGAAGAAAGCATATTTTACCATTTTCACAAAGAGTTCCATTGAATCCTGGTGGACAGATGCAGTCGCCAGTCAAATCGTGACATACTCCTCCATTTAGACAATTGGGACATTGGTGTTCACAAAGAGGACCATAAATTCCATCTTTACAAACTGAAATTTATTAGTTTCGAATATTGTCTTAATGATTCATAGAAAATAGTTCATAACAAGATGATAAAATAATAAATTGATATAGGCCTACAGTAAAACCTGTATAAACCAGAGTTATTTTTTCGTTTTGTCAAGTTTTTTATTTAGTATTTCTTCTTCTTTTTTTATGCTTAAACTACATCAGATAAATGTTATTCCGCAATTAAGTTCATTATTTATAGTAAAATTACTTTTACATTTCTGGTTTCACCCAAATTAATCCATTGTCATTCCAACTAGATATGAGAGTATTCGAATGCAATTGTAAACTTTTTGATTGCTAAAAGGCCCAAACTACGGCTGCCGGACCAAACCCGGCCTGCAAACATATTTGACTTATAAATGATAAAAAGAAGCGTACATTTTACATTTATGGAATACTAGCTTATTACACCCGGTTTGACCCAGGTTTATAAAGTACCTAACGCTGTAATTGTTACACCCGATTTATTAAGTCACAGTCGAAAAATTGGGAATTTATGGCTCCTATGACATGCAGCGTACCGTAACTTGGGTAAATTTTGTTTTTGTGGAGTACTTCTAAAACAGAAAGTTTGAAACGGATACCATAATTTTTCATATTTGCAATCCGTTTAAAATATTTGGAAGATTCTTCGGTGAACTTTCAATTTGGCATTTTGGTTCGAATATTCTTAAAAAATTGGAGTTTGTATTTTAAAATAAACTAAAATTTTATAGTAGCTGTAGTATAAAATTAGTTGAGATAAAATTATTACAGTTTCTATTATAATGCCAAATTATGCCGTTTTAGTTGTTCTTGCTACTGCACGTTGCAGTTAATGATATAAATTGTGCTGATAATTTCTAAAACTTTCATACTAATACAAAGAAGCTCTTGTTAGATTTTTACTAATATAGTAACTGCTTTTTGTCGATGGCCGAATGGTCGACAAAAAGCATCAAGACGGTTAAGATATCAAACTACCTCTCTATGGGAGATCCTAGCTCGAATTCGGTCGAACAATTCCGGGTATTTTTCAAGAACGATCTTTCCTAATTAGGGGTCCTCAACTCTTATAACCTAGTAGCGGCAGACTGTAACATGATTTTGAGCTTGGCAACATCAAGATCACCAGACCACTTTACTAGTGTCAAATATTAATATTCAAAAACTTAGATGAACGAAGGTGGTAAAATAAACGAACTGAAAACTATTTGTATAATTAATTGCATTTGAATAAATAAGTATTTTCATTTAAATATAGATAATACTTGGCAATTTCAACCAACTGCACTTTTACGTATACAATTTCTAACTGAACTGGTCAATTGTAGCATCGGTTCTTATGGCATTTGTCAAAACTGCCCTGTGGCCTGTCCGCAGCTATCATTTAGTCATCTCAGTACGGGTCTGACCGAACCTACTATGGGTATGATTAAAAAAGGCCTTATCCACCAGTGACTGAATGGATAAAAACCACTGAACGCTGTAGTTTGTCGTAAATTCGTGATTCCCCAAAAAGAAGATCATAAGTTTTCTGGGTTTTATTGACGTGTCTAAAACGTAAATAGTGATCAGTTTTTTCATAGAAAGTCCTTTGTCTCTCTAGAGACATCTCTTCTTGGTAGATTACTCGTGTACTGCCTTGCCGTATTCCATCAATACAAACCAAAAACCAACATTTTCGTTGTTCACAAGACGAAAAAAATGACAAAATGAAAAAATAAATGGTTATACTGTATTAAGAATCTTTAAACTTACCTCGAACTATTAGTCTTGTAATTCCCCGATTTTCGAAATTGTAATTACCAAGACTGTAAAGACCTCCATCTCCAATTTGCAAGGAATTGAATTTTAAATACAAATCGGCCTTATCGCTACCAAAAAATCTATTCAAATATCCAGTAAACTCCTTTTCGTTCTTTCTCCAATTTCTAGAACGTGTGCTTGAATTCATTTTTATTTCAATTTTATCTTTGATGCTCTTTGTTATCGTAAACGAAGTTGGCAGAAATTCAGCTACAAACGCAATTATTTTGACAAATAAATTTAAGAAAACAAACAAACAAATAAATATATCGAAGGTCGTTCAAAAAGTAATACCCGTTTTAAAATCAAAAAGTAACCAATAAAGATATGTGAAAAAATTTGGATACCATAGGTTACTTTTCAACGTAATGCACGAGAAAAAGATCCACTTCTTGTCGACTTCATGTCCCAAGAAGACATGATAAATACTGATGTATGTCTAGTTACATTGAAGCTTAATACAGAATCGCAGAAGAGGCTTATTGTCTTATAGTGTCAACTCCTTACATTATAATGCGCGACCTCGTGTCGTCGAGAAAGCAAAATAACTCGAAAGTTTTAAATGAAAAATTTTAGATCATCCATCCTATAGCCCGGACTCGTTCTATACAGCCATTTATCTTCTCGCAAAACTAAAAAATATTTTCGAAGGAAAAGACTTTGTGAGTAAGGAATAGTTTCAGGAAGCAGTCACTATGCATTTCTGAATGCCCTGGCGGCGATGTACTGTACATTGCAATACAAAAATCTGCACGTGGATATTCAAGGTGATTACGTGGAAAAGTAGCTTATGGTATGTAAATGTAAAATATAGAAGTGTTTTCGTAAATCTTTATCAATTCGTTTTAATTCTAAAACGGATACTACCCTCCGAACTACCCTCGCATGTTATAATAACGATGAAGTACTCACGATATTTTCTCATCGAGTGCGAAAGTACACCCGAAAGCATACTTCGTTCAGGTTTACACCAAAAGCCACCCGTTTCAGTCCAGGAATGATTATAAGATATATACGATCCTAAAATTATAAATCATTTTTATATATTAACTTTATATACTGTATATATAAAGTTAATTAGAATAAAGAGAATTTTCTTTTGTTGTAGAAAAAATGTTTTTATATCAATTTCAAATATTAAAAATTTATGTAAAACTACAAATGATAAAAAAAACGTATATACGATGTTGAGAATACAAAAGAAATTTATAAAGAACAAGAGTAGAACAACTGTTGATAACTCCTTGTTCAATGTTGATTATTATGATAACCAGTTTCATTTTTTAAATATAACTTATATCAAATTTTATATTAAAATAATTTTATTATAATTATGATAAATACAGGACCGTATACAGTGGCTATCCGAAACTGATATCTGCTATATATAAATATGTAAACTTAATTTTCAAAGTCACCTCGTCTCTTCACTCAAACTTGACAATATTTTAATAACAGTCGACCCCCATATAACACTGTTGATTTTTCCGTTTTATATGAATTCTATGTTGTGCGAGTCACTTAGATTTTAGAAATACGTGTGCCGGGCTGTTAACGGCTCACGTATTTGTAAAATCTAAGTGACTCGTACAATATGGAATTCATATAAAACGGAAAAATCAACAGTGTTATAGGGGGTTGACTCTATAAGGATCTAAAATTGAGATGGAAGAATCGTCTTCTTCTTCGTCAATTGAAAATTTTATAGTTGAAAATGGCTTAAAGATTCTACGAAATATTGTAGTTTATGTTTTGAATTATCCCACGCTAACAAGGTATCATCCACATGTCTTAGATGCAAAATGGAAAACATAAGATTCGAAAGGTCTGTAAAGCACTAGAGCTGGTGGTCAACAGCAGTTATTATCTACAAACACGGGGTATACAAATAAGTATTTTTTTATCTACTAAAATTGTGGGAATGAGAACCTTGGGAGAAAAGGTGTTCAATACATTTTAAAAGATGTGCTGAACAATTTTTGAAAATGTTTAGCCTTAAATATACCAGTTTAGCGAAGAGATGATTTCAGTTTTTTTATAAAATAATTTAAAATTTATTATCGCATCTAGAAGAAAATAAGTTTTAATTTCTGTAATTGTTCACAAATACAAAGCAATAAATATGTTATAATAAGCAGTATAATTTCTAAAATAAAAACGTTTACTTGGAATTAAATTATTATTTTATTACCTCTGCGTTTTGCAGATTCTTCAAACTCTTTGCTGTCTCGGAATTTACTGAAATATATTTTCCTCCCGGAATCGTTTGAAGATATTCGGCATTCCAATGTATGTGTGTCACCATTATTCACGAAATAATTATGATGAAGTGAAATAATGTCTAATATTTCTTCTAAAAAACAAAAAAAGAAATTGTATTTTTAGTACGTTTTTAAACACCCACTAAATATTTTCTATTTAAAGAGTGTGTCAGAACATTTCATTTTCAACATTTATAAAATGTTTGGCCAAATTTTACAGACTTATAGAAAGAAAAAAAAAACCTGAATAAAAGTAGAAAGCCGTTTTTCCATTTGAAGCCACTAAGTAATGACTTCGTTTCCATTTACTGTGTAATGTATCAGTAATTTCGTTTACTAATCACTCACAATTAAAATTTTATGTGTGATTATTTTTCATAAAAACATTCCAACAACGAGTTGCGTAGCTATAACGGTTGTTATAAGATTTTATTTAAAAAATAACTTTTGCATTATTAATCTTAATAAATAAAATTGTGTGTGGCGCCATCTGTTATATTTTATTACAAAAATTTTTTATATTATTAATTATTATATAATAACAAAAATAAAATCTTAATTTCGACAGTGATGAGTTTTATAAAAAACAAAAAATGTAAAGGTTAATAATGAGTAAAATCTATATTAAGTCTAACCCCACTTGAGATATGGCAAGTGACTACCTTGTACGTCTTCGTCCCCCCTCGACCTTTAAATACCAAAATTTAATAGCATTAATGCTACTTATACACAAGCTTACATGACAAAGTTCGTTTCTAAATATTTATCCCATCCTGACATATTAAACGATAATAGATGCTAACATACAGACAAATAAACACATACATGAATACATATCCACGGAATTTCTTCCCGTTTATTTTTCTGACATTTCTGAGTTCAAGGGGCCTTATAACGTCGAGATTTGAAAAAACTATTGAGGTTCAACTTTGACAGGATTCCAATTCAATCTGTTGTCATATATAGACGTATCTATACATAACAACCGGCAAAGGGAATAATGTCCATGATTCATAAGGTTAAAGTATATCATTCCGCAACTCATGTCTATGTCGACTTAGTAATAATGCTATTTGCTGCATATACTGTGTTGCATTTTCTGAAACAACAGTTTTAATGAAATTGGAAAATACAGTATCGGGTTACTAATAGAGATTTAAATATTTTATTGTTAGATGAAATCAAAAATCCTGTATATAAACTGCTTTAATATTTAATATTTATTATAAAATGTTTACAGTATGCATCATTAAAGCGGTTTTAATTAATCCTGTTTAAATTACATTAAAATATGGTTCTCAGATCTTATCTTGCATAAAACATTTGTGCAAACTAGTGCAGAATCATTTTATATAACTTATAAAGCGTTTGAAAGACTTTTCATTTATGCCTATTAACATCTCGGTTTACCTCGATGTAATATGTTAATAGTTGTGCCAAATTTGTCAAACTTATTGTGCCAAAAACATTAAATTATGCAAGGTTTATTAATAGCAGACAGAAATTAGTTAACAAAAACCTAAAAGTAAATTTACTTGAGTAAATAGATTATGAATATAAAGAACAATAAACACGCACAAAGAAATTTCAGGTTCAATAAGTTGAAGATGACTTTATTCAAATACAGAGCGAAAAAAATTGTATATTTTCTTATTAAAACGAATTATCTAAATATTATTTTAAATATTTTTTCGATAAATAAATGATATATAAAAATCGATTAATTCCACTTACATCGCAAAAATACCATATTTTGAGACATCGAGGGTCAAACTTTTATGTATCACAGAACATGAAATATTGATTTTTGAGATTTCATATTTTCTGATTATAAGCTCGATGTCCCTTTTCGAATGCACCATTTTATCTTCCTGTAGGAATTCTGCTTCTACTCAAGCATTTTATTTTGATAAATCAATCACTCAGTGTGCTAAATACAGCTTATTATACAGGTAAACATCATTTTTGTTATCGTTATCATTATCATCATTATTTGTTAGCGTTAATATGTACAGTACAGTCTGTTGCGCATTTTGTAAGACATCTGCAGCAATAAGATAGAATTAGAAGATTTGTTTTTTGAAACCGTGTCCTGTTTTATAATTGTGGCATAGTAAACACTAGTATTGTGTTTTATTCTTTATTCGACTCAACTAATAAAGGAATTTGATGGAAAACTTGCCATGTGTCTTTGGAATAAAACACAATACTATTGTTTACTACGCCACAATAGAATTAGTCCTAATTAAGTAAAATCAACTAAAGTATTAGGAAAAGTTTTTGTTTATAAGTTAAGATAAAATGTTTCCAAAAAAGAAACTAAGTAAGGGAAAAAAACAAGATTCATTTCTATCATAAAAATGGAAAATCAGTTATCAATCAAAGTGATAACAAGCTTGACTGATAGAGCAGAGTATTGTTGCCTGATTTTAAAAAAAACAAGCAAATTCTGATACAGTATTACAAAACAAGACAGTCTTCTTCAGCCATAGCTGTCAGTCTACAGTTTCCTCTGACACGGAGAATATTGTCAAATGCCAAAAAATTGGCCAATTCCTGTCTGGCAATAGAGCACAAGCAAAAGCAAGTCGCATTAAAACTGTCGATGACGTGTTTTTCATATTCACTGGGAGCCGTTACAAGGAGCAAGTTTGGGAGCCGTACAAAATTTTGTAAATTATGTATATATTTGTAATAATTAAAATATTTATTGAATAATTTATACATAAGTTTATTTTTAATTAAAATATTCATTTACCTGTTATCCTTGAACTTTTAAAAACATAGCAACCATTTGAAGGAGTATAAAGACCTCCATAACTAGAATAAATATGATTTATTAATGTTATTATAATCGAAACACTTATTTTTTAAAAATATTTATCGAAATATTTAAACTTTGAAAGTGCTTATTACAAATAAATGAGAAATAAAATATAAAGAAAAATGTGATTATTATCACGGGATTCATATTGAAGGTACCATCAGATTAAGCCAACTTCTAAATTAGGTGTCAGACTACCATTTTGGGGATCCAAAATCGAATTTAGTGGCAAAAAACCACTGTAATTTTTTATTTAAATCCCAGATATGTATGGCTCCGTCCTTCATCAGCCGGTTTTCTATCATGGGCTTAGCCAAAGCAATAATTGGTATAAAGAAAGATCTTCTTAGTGCTCAGAAGACAGAAACAATCAAAAAAATGAAAAAGAAAACTTAACAGGATTTAAGATTTTGGTTAACTTGTGATAATTATCAATAGGTTTGAATTTGTTGATAATTTTAAACTACGAAGTATTGAAACGAAGTAGATCTGCTAACATATTTATTGATAAAGGATAAGAAATTGCTTTAAAAATGTAATCATTTTACAAATCGCTAGCTTAAGAGGCTTTAAATTTACAGTACAAATTTGTTAATCCGGATCCTGGGAGACGAAATTGGTGCCGAATTATCGAAAATGCTGGCTTACTTAACATTTTGTATTTTCGTAAAATTCGATAACCATTCGACAATTTGTACTTTGTCGACATTGTTGTATATTTTGTATCAGTGCCGCTGGTGTAATATGTCTGACTAAACACAAACGAGGTGTTGTAACTTGTTCTCGAATTTTTTGGGGTTTCTGATATATTGAGCCATGTCTCTCACCATCGTCTGCCCCATTGTGAGCGTACACGAACCAATAATGGAATTGCTAAAACAGACCCTTTTGATGCCTAAAGGACGGGAAAGGTTTTTTTGAAAAAAAGCCCTATGCAGTCGAAAAAAGTAAAAAAATAAATAAAGATTAATCTGGATACTGAAATGAATTCACACGAAGAAAAATATTTCAGAAAAACCAGATATACAATTAATGCAGTAATATTTGAAAATAAAACTATAGTCCTGCCGTAGTATAGCCTACTAATGCGTAATTCTGTAAGTTATATTATTCAAAACAGATTTCATGTTTATGCAAAGTTATTGTTATTGTGCAAAAATATTACAGTAAATCTATTTTTTACTTCGTAATACAGGAGCAAACAACTTTTTTGCGTATTTTACATGCAATTATTTCTTAACAGACAAGTTTATAAAATAAATGAGAACTTACTCTGTTGTTTCAATATTCTGTCTTAGAGATCCAACGTATACTTTTACATCACCTAAATACTGAAATTCGACAGTGCGAAGTGAATTATTCCAAGACGAAATGCGTAAATCGTGAAGTGCCGATCTGCAGATTGGAGAATCCTTTAAATAAATGAAAAATAAATAAAAAAAATAGTAAATAATTCAAGGTAACAAAAACTACTAAATTACATAAGTATATGTTTCCGTTCCCCAGATTTGCTTTTCATCGTCTATACAGGAGCTTGTGCAACGTCCTCTAAAAATATATGGTATTTTATAATAAAATGTTAATATATATATTTTTTTTTTTTTATTTATTTACATTATTATTTAGTTACACACACTAATTGCTTCTTTATTATGCTGACTTCAAAGTATAAAATGATTATAAAGTCTAACTATAGCTATAACTCGACTTACAACGGACCTCCATTCTAATATTCCGATCGCAAGTTCATTTAATTTCAAGTTCAGTTCGCTTCTACTTTGAAGCTCCTCCAGAGTAAAAGCAAACGGAAGGGAAAAGGTGAGAGGTCGTGTAATTGCTACAAAAGTAGTGAGACATTTTTATGCTAAGACGGCTGTAAACAGTAATCAACATAGCCTGATCTTCTATTTAAATAGAGAGAATAGAATAGTAATCAACATCACTAATGACAAAAACAAAATGTATATTACGTTTAATAAACACATTTAATAAACGGATGAAGTGTATAATAGAAAATATGTAGTTATGCGTACAGTCATTAGCGATGCATTGGCAATATGGCAAGTGCCAAAGGCACGAAGCATGAAGGACGTTTATGCCTCACAAATATTTATGCACTGTGGATTAAACTACGAATACATTGCCAATGAATGCCAAAAACATTGTACGGTTGTGTTCTGACAGCATAGTTGATTTTGTTTTGTTTCAATCCCATGCACCTTGCGTTTGCCAATATGGCTACTGTAAACATTTCAGGAGACGAAGTCGTAATATCCGAGGAGTTTTAAGTCGAGGTATACGTGTATATGTTTTTCCAGTTTTAATTTACAGTAGAGCGTCGTTTATCCGAATCAATTGGGGACTGGGGTTGTTCGGATAACTTATGTTTCAGATAACCGATCATGTACGAAAAAATTTATTAACCTATCCCATGTTGAAATTTTTCTCCGTTGCGTGTCGCTTCGCGTTGAATTTTCGTCGATGTTAAGCCTAACGTAAACTTTTTAAAATAATAATCGTGGCTATTGTATCGTTAAAAATGACTTCTTTATGTTTTACAAACGAAATAAATATATTGAAAAATATAAAAACAAATAAAAATTATACTTTAGGCCGTCTGGAATTCTTTCGGATAACCGACGTTTCGGATAAACGACGCTCTACTGTATTTTCAATTATTTGTATGTCTGTGAATAATAGATTTATCATTAAAAATATATTTATTATCACTATGTTATAAATATAATTTTATTTGAAAAATAATTTCAATTTCTATAATCATTTTAAATTTAAATTAATAATATGAATCTTTAATATAATCTAAAATAATCCTACCTGCAGCCTATTTTTTTGCACCAATCCTTGAATGAATGAAGGTGTTTCTTACAATCAATATTCCCAACATCTATTTCTATTAAAAAAAAATAATAATAATAATTTGCAAATTTTATTACCTAAATTGTATGCTATTTGTTATAATGATACAGATTAATTTTATTAAATTTAATAATAAAATTTATCAAAATTTTATATTAAGCCAATTAATTTATTTTTTAATTTTCTCTCAAAAAGTTCAAAGTGTAAGCTCAAAATTGTTATATATCCAGGACGATATTCAGATAAGAAAATAAATTTTAATATTTTCATTTACTTACCATCTCAACTTGAAAATTATTATAGATTTAATGCATAATTCTAAGGACTTCTTACGGCTAATATGTAAACATCTAAATTTTACCGGAGCGATCCACATTACAAGTAGATTATATATTATCCTTAAAGCGTAAGTATAGTTTTAACTTAAGTTTTGGTGGTTTCAGATTGTAACTTTATCGTGTAATTAACAGCGCTAAATATACGATCAATTATGAGAAACATCCTCTTCGAAATGCATATTACAGGGGAAAAATATGTCTTAAATTATAACTCCTTTTAAGAGATTTGTGAATTTAATTAAATTGATTTTAATAATAAGAAAGCTTTGTAAATCAAAGTTTTGGTTTCTGAATTGGAAAGTAAAAATACTAATTAACTTTTTTCATTTTTACGAACAGAGCCTTAGGTTTCTGTTGATTGTTCAAGATTAAAAGAGAAGAGAGAGTCGCCAGATATGCTTATACTCCGTAATAATAACAAAATTTGCTTGAAATAGCCAAAAAACGTACAAAAATATTACATATATGTAAATAGCATGTGCCAAGTTTATGGAAAAAAAATTGAATAAGTACATGGATCGCAGTAAGGATTTAGAAGAGCCGCAGTTTGGCTACCGTGAGTATAATATTTATAATATATCGTGAGTAATTGTTTATTTGAATTTTAATTATCTTAAATACAAATAATTTATTTCAAAATATTACAAAATAAAATAATTTTGCGAGTAAACATAAAAAATTATTTATTTTACTTATTTGTAATAATTTTTATTTAGTTAATAAGCCTATTAAAGCCTGCAATTCTATCAGAAAACATGCATGCAGCCAGTCGAAAATCTGGCTGAGTGCTGCAAGTAAGCTTGCAGCTTTTAGCCAGGAAACGTTGCTCATCACTTTTCTAGATTATGTTACTTCACTTTTCGTATTTATCAATCCAATCCTACATCCGATTACGAAGTGGATTATCCAATTCTCGAATTAAAGTGAAAATACATACTACAAGTTCCTTCAATTTGTTTGAATGCGCCATGACGTGCTGCTGTTCGATTTGTCACGCTCAAACTACTCAAATGATTTCAAAATTTAGTAGATAATGAATTTTCGCGATAAAATATACTATACTAACTTCGAGAAAGAAGTATTGTTATAATTGGTAGCAAAATATAAAAATTTATTAGAAAATAAACAAATATAGGTGAAAATATATATATCGTTTTGTTATAAAATGTTAAAAACGAAAGCAAATAAAGATCGAACGGAAAAGAAAACAAAGAATTTATTTAAAACTGGAAATCCTGTAATGATGTAATCGTTTATGTAAATCACCTATATTAATCATAACGATTGCAATTGATTTTGGAAACATCAGAATAAAAAACAATCTATAAATAAAAAACAATAGCTTTCCATTATCTCCCTGAACCACAGACTTTTTCATTTTTTTAAAATAACGCATCCACTATTTATATAACGATAATCGTGGCCCACATCCTACAGCGGGGCCCCAGACCAGGAGCATTGGCGAGCCATCCACCCACTCGAACCGAGACCTTAGTGGTGTGAGGTTAGAGACCCAACCACTCGGCTCCAGCGGCCACTTTGGTAAATGACAAAAAAAAAATATTATTTTCATTCACAAATTAAGCACGCATTTACAAAAGCGTAAATTAGATTTATCAGAGACAATAGAGGAATTACACCGACAAATTTTACAATGACTAACACGACATTAAAAAACAAAAACACAAGAACTGAAAGAACGGCAGAAATTGAAAAACAAAGCACATCAGCGAGACAAAATACAAGAAAATATCGATTAAATTATTTCGCAGTAAATTTTCTGGCTAACTGCAATAATTGTAAACGGAAAAATTCTGATAAAAGTTTTTTCAGCTTTCCTCATGACTCAGAAAGGGAATTTTTATATTTTTATGATTGTTATATTAAGTTAATAATAGTAGTTTAGAATATTAATTAAACTATTTCAAGAATTAAATACTCCAATTAAATTGAACTCAATATTTCACAAGAAAATCAAAATAATTTAGATTTGCAATTCGATTCTAGAAGAAATTGAGAAAAAAAAAATGTATATGCCTAATCCCGAAACTCTTGCAGAGTACTAAAATCAATCTTTCTTGAAATATATACATTTAGCTTATAGGTAAATTCGGTTATTGCAGTTACTGATTTAATACTATAATTCCGATTATTGCTTCAAAAATCGAGTTATTGCGGCTTTCTGCATCAAATGAAAGTTTTCATTCAGTCTTTTTTACATCGAAATGTGTTGGATTCTAGGTTTTTTGTTTTTATTTTACAGTACAATGCATTTTGATAGCAAAGAAGAAATTCACATTAAAAGAACTTTATGAAATGTTTCGTGTCCGTGGATCTATTAAGCAAAAGGAAATGTTGAACATTCAATAAAAATGCGCCGAGGAACAGAAAATACAGTAATCGAGTCATATACCAAAAGAAGGAATTTTTAAAGGAAAAAGTCTCCTACATTCTTTTTCTGAAAAATAACTCTTATGTATTTTGTTTAATAATAATAATGTTTTAAAACTTAAAGCTGCATTTAATTTATTACCTTTTTCCTTAATACATTGAATATTAAAAATTACACTAGTTATTTATTTATGCGTGTATTAAACTACACGCATATATAAATAATTAGTGTAAGTTTTAATATATAATATTTTAATTATAATTTTAGAAAATTCTTGGAATAAATCTCCTATTTCCCATATGTTATTCTTCTCGATTATCGCGGTGTTTTTCCTGGAAACATTAAGGGATTTGTCTGTATTTAGAGACTAAAAGTGATGTCATTTCAATGAATTTGTTTAGTGATGGTTGTGATGATTCATCGATGTGACACGGGCTTTTAATTATATATATTAAATTAGAGAAATGCTTAAAAATTAACAAGAAAATACATTAATATTTTAGAAGATTTTCACGTTGAAATACTTTTAAAATTATGTTTAACGTACATATAAATCACGTAATACAAAAGCATTTATAAACACGTGAATTTCTTTTGTTTAATATCCAGAGACTATTAATTAAAATTGGATCGAATTTTAAAAACAAAATATTGATTTAGAACAAAAATATAGATGTAAAATATTCCATTATTTGTATAAATAAGTTCAATCTTTTAATATTGAAAGTTTCTTTTCGTTGGAAATCATGTTTATAATCATCGCGTAATCTTGATTTAATTCTCAGAAAAAATTATACTAATATGTTACTTGTTCAAATGATTATAATTAAATAAATAATTGCATAATTTTGTTTATTTAAAATAACGTCATTCAAATTCAATTTCTAGTCTCATTTAATATCTATTAAATGCATTTCACAATTACATTGATAACATAAAAAGCAATATTATAATTATACAAAAGAGAAAATAAAATAAAAACAATTATAAAACTGAATAGAATAGCAGATAATTATATGTTATATAATACTTACGTGAAACAGAAACTTGAAAACAGATCATAAGTATCGCAAAATTGAAGAAATTTGCCATTCTCATAGGCAGATTGTTACTAAAATCAGAAATATTTAATTAAACCTTTCAATGTTCTGAATAATTCTAAAAATTCTTTGAAAGATGTCATTTTCCTGCGGAAAAGAAGGTGCAACGAGGAATAAAATGCATGCTAAAACCGGATATATAGATGTAAAGGGAGGAAGTAAATGGAGGAAATACGCAAATGGCATCATCTCGTGAAGTCTGATAAGAATTTTCGTTAAAAAAAAAATATATATATCGTTTACCTTATCTCCACGGTATAAAATTTAAATCTCTTAATTAAATTTAAAACGTTTTCAGTTTTTAATAATTTGAATTCGACTATTTAATCTTTTTAACGTTACAAATAACTAACTTTCTTACAAGAAACAAGATAACTATAACTTTCATTTTTTTAAAAGGAGCAAACCATTCTATACCACACTTTCCATTATTCTAAATATATAAAATTACTTGTCCTGTCTGACTGACTGAGTCAGCGATTCATCATCACCCAGAGCCAACCGCTGCACCTAAAGAGGTGAAATTTGGTACACAGGGTACGTCATGAAAACGCACACTAAGAAGGGATGTTTCGAAATTTCCCCGCGGGGGGAGAGGGAGAGGATTAAGGCTTAACCTGAAGGCTTTTACTGTAATAATTTAGATGCGATTTTTTGTTTTCAATTAAGTTCAGTTTTCATTGAGTACTTTGGTGTATTAAATTGATAACATTTCAGACATTGTTATAGTTTGTTTGATTATCGGCAATTCTCATCATTCTCAGAGGTAGGTATTATATAACAATTACTATGGTTGTTGAAATACTGAATATAAATGGGGTTTGCTTGCAAAACCTCCGCGGGCGAAGTCGAAAGTAAAAATATATCTAAAAATTTCTCTCTCATTAATGTATTGTATTGAATTGAACCACAATAATGATACTTTTATAAATATAATTTATTTTATTAACATATTTTTATATGCATCTAACATCTTAATATACAGTATATTTATACTTTAACTTTCAAGATAGACTCAAAGCTGAGAAATACAAGAAAATTTTGCCAATAAAATGTATTTCGCTTTAGTTTTTAAAAATCTCTCAACACTCGCTTTTTCAACACCAATTTCACCATTGATGACCCGATTTGCAATGGAAAGTATGGTAAAAAGCGTGGAATTTCATTATCTCTGACATAAGCCACGAATGCATATACTTGTACACACATCTTCGAGTACAAAAAACTACTGTAAAACACCCAAATATGAAATCAATTGTTGATAAGTAGCTATAGCGAAACAAAATAAATCGCTTTAACGGTAGTGTCAGTTGTCTGCAACTGACACTACCGTTAAAGCGAACATATATTCGACTTATTCGTCGAATGTATGTTACATTAGTTTGTGACGCAACTAACCTTGTTTAATATGAATAAAATAATTTAATTTAAAAATACAAATTATTTTAAAAATTAAATGAATTATTTAAATATTTAAAACATTCGAGTGAATAGTAATAATATTTTAATTTCGTATTAATATTTTTAGTTTTGTAATTCAGCCATTTTGTCAATTCTTTTGTTCGCAATCAACCAGATTCATAAGAAATATGTTAAATATTAAAAGCATATTTTATTAAGAATTCAATCAGAAAGTAAATAGAAAAAAGTACTTCGATAACTTTTCCTTTATTATATATTGATTTTATTTACATAACAAATATAACATAGTAAAAATGGAGAACAAAAATCTGTGGATTTTTAAAGTAAAAATGCTGCTCTTGGTTATTAAATAAATATTAACAAATGATCTTGTTTATCAATTATTAGCAATAAACATTTTCAAAGATCAAAATTCTAAACATTATATATGTTGCAGTCAAAACCCGTTTTTAGTTAGTACACGTTTTGACAAGTTGAAACTAGTTTATACTGGATGTCTCTGATAAAACTCGTTTTGTCTAGTTAAAAGTAGAATTTACTGTTAGTCAAAAATGAATTTGAGTTAAAACTAGTTTTAACTAGACAAAAGGGGTTTTATCAAAGACATCCAGTTTAAACTAGTTTCAACTTGTTAAAACGCGTTCTAACTAAAAATGGGTTTTGACTGCAATATATATATAACAATTATACACATCTATAATAATGTAAAAATCCTAATAAAATCTTTATTGTATTGTGCATTAGTTTTACTGAGGCAACTTCAACAAGAGACCAAAAATCATTATTTAATTTTAAGTTTCTATTGACTTCAAGTTATTCTGTAACGCTGCTTTACTTTATTGAAAATTTGCATACGTTTCAAAAGAATCTAGATATGTTAACGCAACTTGATGACAGTAAATGTATTGACCCTGAAAAGTAAAAAACACTTTAATATTCATGGAATAATTTAATTATATTTTAAAATAAAAGTTTTTAATTACCACATCTTCAATGAATTGAGGTCGATTAGCACGGATACTTCTAACAGCAAAGAATACGTCCACTTCTTGTTCGTGTTTTATCTTATCGCAAATAAATACAGATCCGCAATATAATCCACAAGCACGTACGCCGTTCCTACATTTTATATAAAATAAATGCTTAACCTAGGATTTCTACAACCTTGTTTTAATGTAAAATGTAACTATTGCTTACGTATTCGTAAATTAAAAGTAATATATTGAAAATAGTGATTTATACTTACAAACATTGAACAATGACGGTGGTGGTTGCAGAATTTTGTTGCCATCTTTCTACTTTTTCGATTAAGCGCAATAATATGTCGGATGACGTGGGCAATGTGTTACTCGACGACCATCCTGTCAAATGAAATTGCTTCATGACTTTTGTATCTGTCTCTTCCTAGCAACAAATAAAGTTCAATATTAGTTTTGCATTCTTAAAATAAGAATTATACTTTCGGTTTATTTTAATAGTTTTAAATAAAACTGAAAGATAATTTTAAGTTAAGCTAGTTAAATTAATTTATGACACAGACCAATTCTTTATTAGATAAAAAAAATTGAGGTAAATGTGTTGCTGGGATTATCAATAATTAATAAAGAATTATTAGAATTATGGTTTTGTGTGTGTTATCAACTTCATCTTTCTCACTTTTGCACCTAGTTCTTCATCAATTAAAACTAATAAAAAATTAGGTAAAACCAGAACTAAGATTAATAACGAAATAAGATGTGAAATAATATAGAAAAATACACGCACAATTATTACTATTGTAGCATATCATTTCAAGTCAATTGGTGCATTCCGTTGGCATGACGGTTAACTGAAACTGACGGACAACAGAAGTTTTACTGCAACATATATTTGAATTTAAAAAATCTATTGCATGACTTTTATATATATGTGACCGTTGGGTCGGTATCTCTTCGATACCACATCAGGATGACACCACTGTATCCTTAGGTCGATACAGAGACCACAAGTTCGCGCGAGCGGTTACGTATGAGTTTTGGACCCGGAATGGAGTGAACGGAGAGAAGAACGGAAGAAACTGCACTCAAAGATGGTTTAACCATAAATAACCGTTTATTTATATTAAATCTAAGTTAGTTATACATCAGAATTTAAGGTTACAAAGTTAGTATTTGCTAAATATAAGTTACGTGAATCGCGTTTATTATTGATGTTTTCCTCAATTCCGTTTTCTAGTTACAATCGAGTTCGCGATTAGATTACGCGGAGAGAGAGAGAGCGTACAATAGTGCGCGGGCAGAATAAATATCTTAACCTATACTGGTGATCGGGTAATAAAGTTCCAAGTCCGTGGTTTTCCGAAGTAGTTCTCTTGACGTTCGTTGATGTTCTAAAGTTCAGTCGGCGAGGAAACATACAGGTACAGTTCTCGGAGTTGATCTCGGCGGGAGATGGACGTGTCGCACACACACAATCAATTCATAACTTCCACGATCTTATTCATCGTGCCTGTCCTTTTTATATTAAGTCCTCTTTTCGGGCCTTTTCCCGATTTCGTCAGGGATGACGATCTCCTTGTACCAATGAGGTGACGGGTGACACAGAGATGTACTCATCTCAACAAGGAACCCAACTCGTGGGAATCGAGGTTTAACCAGATTTTATCGATTTTATTTTTCCCTTTTCTCTTTTATTTTATTTTTTTAATAACTCGTTCCGTCTTTATAGAGTTGCATTTAAAGTTTAAGTAAAATTTATAAAAGTTTAAAGTTTATAACACGAAATTTCTGATCCTCACATATAGATTACAACAAACAGAATAGAAAATTCGTTAAAAATTAATCGTTGAAATGGCAACGTGTTTACTTCAGTCAACTCAAAATAATGATGATGTGAGACTCAGCATAATTTACATACATAATTAAATCACAACATAACCTTCTAACTATACCATCTTGTCGGATAACTGTCAACTTTTGCACCTGAGAGTTAATTAATTGATTGTTAAGTTCTCAGCAGCTAAGTGACGCTTTCTCATAATATCCCAACCTACTGTCTCGAGTTCATCAGTTGAATATAACAAGAAATCGAAAAAGTTATCAGTCGTCGGCTGTTCTTCCGAAAGTGCAGTTGTCACCCGGTTTTACTATACACATCGCTTCCGGTTCTTTCACCTTCTCGTTTACCTAAGTGAACTTTCCTGATCATCTACGGAATTAGTGAGTGCCAATCTTGGATTGACATCGCCGCCGAATATCTCATAGGACTATCTCGTCTCCTCGCCACCGAACTTTCTGACTCCGGCCAACGAAGTTGCTTCAGCCTACGGAAATCCACCGTTATGTCAGGTATCTATCATTCGTTAAGGCATGGATATAATTATATATACCGTTAACACTTAGACCCCAGGGGTCCATGTATTTTTCTTTAAATTTTTCCTCAAATAAACTAGGTCGTTCCGTTATCCTAGTCTCAGCGTGAGTCACTTCCGGTGACCTGCCTCTCACTCCATCCCGCCCGATCGCCTGCACACGCGGCCGCTCGCGTGACCGAATCAACACGACGTCTCGGCTTCCGTGTCAATCGGGACACGGTGGTGTCAGTCCTGACAGGGCACTAAAGAGGTGCTCACCCCCGGTCACAATTTGTACAGGATAGATTATTTTATCAGATGATTTAGAAATTACTTTGAACGTCTACAATAAAATATCAAGCATACCTGATTAGAAATATTTCTTAATTCAAAGGTTCTGACTATAATATCGCCGAGTGTTTCTTCGGAGACTTTTTTAACCTCAACGTCTTCATAAGTTTCTGTACTTTCTGGCCAATATTGCATGCAGGTCTGTAAAGTAAACTACTGTATTTGAATTTTAAAAAATATATTTAATTAAACCTAACAAAATTCAATTTAAATATGAGTAATATAGAACACAATGGGTCTAAATGGCAGTCATATAAGATTTACCTGTTTAAGTACCATCATTTCATTAAATTAAACTGGATATTTTAGGAAATGTCACTTAGACCCCTTGTGCTCTATATTACTCATATATTATATTGATTTAATACCTCGTCAATTGAATCTAATTCGTTTAAAAGTACAATAGTAGAAGTTTTAGAAGAGAAAGCCATCCTCCAGAAATCTGATACGGTTTTCTGCAATGGAATTTGTGTGACTAGAAACGCATGTTTTTCTTTATATCCCTAAATGAAAACAAAAATAACTGTAGACTATAGAAATTTCAGTTAAAATACAAAAAACACTTGAAATTAAAATATAACAAATATTTTTTTTCAACGAAACTTGTCGCAATTTTACAGATACTGTAATCAATAAGAACAATACAAAAAAATATAACACAATGTCCTTACGTTCTTTTCCAATATTTTAAAATGCATAATACCAAAAGTACTGTAAAAATTGGAAAAAAAAATTAGTGTCAGACTTTGCAACTTAATATTAATTAGTTTCAACTGCCCTGGGAGTAATTAGTAGTGGCCCTTCTTGGAAAGATCTGTAATCATCTGGCAATATTACTTCCCACCCCAGTCAGGTGTAAATCTGTTTTTTGGGAAGCCGGCATGGCGCAGGAGGGAACCCAAAAGAAATAGGAAACAGATGAGAAAGAATGAATTAGTAGAATAAACGAGAGAAGAAGGAAGAAAAAGAAAAAGACTCTCGAGCAGTCTGGATACTAAAACTGGAAGTAAATACAGGAATTATAGGGCTTCTGATGAAGTACTGTACAACGCTCTTCAGGATTGCTCATTACAATTGTAAGAAATAAAAAATATTTAATATGTATATAAAGAAACATTTCAAAAGACTACGAGTATATATACTATATATATATATATATCAGGGTTGAGCAAGCAAGAGTTCAGTGGGAGCCGAAATGTAGGTTTTGCAAAATACATGAGAGCCGCAGTTCTGTACTTTTTTATTCTGTACTGCAGTTCTGTACCGTGATTATTGAAACAAATATTAAATTTTTTTAAATAAACATATTTTCACAAAATTGTGGGTATAAAATTGTAAAAATAATAATAAAAAGCAGAAATTAACACTTTCAGCAGGAGTCACATGTAACTCAAAAAGAGCCACATTTGCCCATGGTATGTATATATATATAATTTTAATTCATTTCTTAAATTCAATTAGAAATAATTAAAATATTTAATATAAAAAATGCTTCTTGGCCTTGGTATAATTAAATTAATTAAAAATCTACTAATGTGAGATAGATAATAAGGACCGATAAGTGTGATAAGTCCTTATTATCTTAAACCTCACATTAGTAGATTTTTAATTAATTTAAAATGTTTAATGTTTTACATTTATACAGTAGTAAAATATTTAATTATAAATTATATAAGAGAATAATTTCAAAATTGTTTTACAAAATGGAATTAATGAGAAAGCCATCCGGTAATGAAGGTAGTACATTCAAATTAGAATCTTGTTAAAGATAAAATCAAAATTAAAATGGATACAATTATAGAATTTTTCCGAAAATGGTATTAGTGCATAAATTGTTTAAATCAAAATATAATTACTTTTTAAATACAATATTATTCAACTAGAATTAACATTTCACTATAATGCTTAAAATATACTTACATCGACATAGACGGCATTAATGTATAAAGATTCTGTATTTCCTTTAACTCTCAAGATTGGAAGTGAACGATCAGCTAAAATAAAATTCCACTTGTTACTTATATATTTACAATTTCGTCTATTTTAAATTTATTTTTGTGAAAAAAATCATCAAGATTTTTAAAAATTCGTAATATACGACTATTTTTATTTTATTTTTCCTTTTTTTTCTTGCTATTTTCGCTCTAAGAACACTAAGAGCTTTATTTTTAATCATTTTCATTAAGAATTCAGCAACTTGGTTTTCTATCTAAACCTGCCACGTGTAAAAAAATATTCAACAATTAATAATTTAATAAAATTAATTTAATTAAGGTTATTCACATATTTTCCGTAATAGATACTGCCTACTTAAGGCCAGGTATTCATCAATTTTTGTCACGATGCCGCCTCATTTACAATGTCTAGATTTCTACGCTAGATAATGCCGCTAAAATGTCTTAAGATCACTATATGTACAATATTCTACAAAATGATTCCAAGAGGCTCACCGTGTCCAGAATCTTAACTGTACCCGTGGAGCATAAAAAACTTACCATTGCCAAAAGGAGATATAACATTTTGCAGTTACTTTTATTTCATACAACAATATTTTATATAATAGTGTAGAGTGTATTAAATTTGCATTCTAGCTAAATGATTGTTCAATAACAGTCATAGTGATGTTGTTTGTATTGAAATTAAAATAATAATTAAATTAAAATGTAAAAAACTAATAATCATATCAAAATAACTTTTTGCTTTCCTTATTAATTGTAAACAAGCGTGTGCAACTATGGAGTGAAGTGGTCTTTCCGAAAACTGTACTATAAAATTCAAAGTTTTTATTATGCAGTTTTCGTTATTTCTTATTTATGTTTTATAAAAATATTTAATGGCAAATAAAAACGAAACATTCTTACAATAAATAATACTTACGTGGAATAATCTTATCACTTCTATTTTTCCCAAGATTAGATGGATGTAATGCAGTTAGACAATCGGTTGTTTTCAATAATGGACATATTTTCGACAGTTTCTATAAAAAGTAACCTATTAATCTTTATGAAATTTCTATTTCTATTTATAATTTTTTAAATATAGATAAAAGCTTAGATTTTAAAATATAATGAATTAGCTGAAAATGCAAAGTATTCGTAAATTGTTTACAAAATAGTTTTATTATAAACTGAATGCTCACGTCAAACAACATAATTACCCCCTGAAAACTGTTAGACGGAGGCNGTATTAAAAAAAATATATATAAACATTTTTCATCACTTCAAAAATTCGCTTTTTTTTAGATGAAAAACACAATTCCGAGTAAAATATTAAGAATTACATGCATTATTATATTAATTATTAATCATTTTAATAATATTTTAAAATCAAAATTCATATTCATTAAAATATATAGACCAACAAGCTAATTTTAGAAAAGAATTCTGTACAGCTTTCAAAATAGTATGAAATGTTTTGTAATTACTATGTTAATTAGTGTTGCTAGAAAATCGATTTTCATTAGTAAAAATAACATAAAATATCACATAATAGTTACAGTTTTAAATACAATTTATTCGAAAGGAGTAAAATTCATAATGAAAAATAATTTGTTAAAGTTTAACAAAAACAAACAAAAGTAAAATGGATACAATTATAGAATTTTTCCGAAAATGGTATTAGTGCATAAATAGTTTAAATCAAAATATAATTACTTTTTAAATACAATATTATTCAACTAGAATTAACATTTCACTATAATGCTTAAAATATACTTACATCGATATAGACGGCATTAATGTATAAAGATTCTGTATTTCCTTTAACTCTCAAGATTGGAAGTGAACGATCAGCTAAAATAAAATTCCACTTGTTACTTATATATTTACAATTTAGTCTATTTTAAATTTATTTTTGTGAAAAAAATCATCAAGATTTTTAAAAATTCGTAATATACGACTATTTTTATTTTATTTTTCCTTTGTTTTCTTGCTATTTTCGCTCTAAGAACACTAAGAGCTTTATTTTTAATCATTTCCATTAAGAATTCAGCAGCTTGGTTTTCTATCTAAACCTGCCACGTGTAAAAAAAAAATGTTCAACAATTAATAATTCAATAAAATTAATTTAATTAAGGTTATTCACATATTTTCCGTAATAGCTACTGCCTACTTAATGCCGGGAATTCACCAAATTTTGTCATAATTTCACCTCATTTACAATATCTCGATTTCTGTTTTTGAAATTATGACAAGCTGTTTTAGACTGTACGTAGATTATCACAGTTTTTACGCTAGGTAATGCCACTAGAATGTCTTTAAGCTCACCGTGTCTAAAATCTTAACTGTACCTGTTTTTGGAGGTCTTCGAATGTCAGGCTCTGCCTGTTCGACTCGATCAAAAACATTATGCACAGCTATTTTTTCACACCACTTTATACGGAGATAGTGGCACATAAAAAACTTACCATTGCAGAAAAGAGATAAAATATTTTTCAGTTGCTTTTATTTTATAAAACAATATCTTAATATATTATGTTTAATAGTGTAGAGCGTGTTATATTTATATTCTCGCTAAATGATTGTTCAATAACAAAGTCATAGTGATGTTGTTTGTATTGAAATTAAAATAATAATTAAATTAAAATGTAAAAAACTAATAATCATATCAAAATAACTTTTTGCTTTCCTTATTAATTGTAAACAAGCGTGTGCAACTATGGAGTGAAGTGGTCTTTCCGAAAACTGTACTATAAAATTCAAAGTTTTTATTATGCAGTTTTCGTTATTTCTTATTTATGTTTTATAAAAATATTTAATGGCAAATAAAAACGAAACATTCTTACAATAAATAATACTTACGTGGAATAATCTTATCACTTCTATTTTTCCCAAGATTAGATGGATGTAATGCAGTTAGACAATCGGTTGTTTTCAATAATGGACATATTTTCGACAGTTTCTATAAAAAGTAACCTATTAATCTTTATGAAATTTCTATTTCTATTTATAATTTTTTAAATATAGATAAAAGCTTAGATTTTAAAATATAATGAATTAGCTGAAAATGCAAAGTATTGGTAAATTGTTTATTATAAACTGAATGCTCACGTCAAACAACATAATTACCACCTGAAAACTGTTAGACAGAGGCAATAAAAAAATCCTTATGTAAAAACATTTTAATATTTAATAGCTTAAATACTTTTAAGATGTTTTGAAACGTTTATTACGCATTTTATGGATTATAATAAATATTAATTATTATAACTGTATATTGATGTATCGATTGTATATATTGGTGTACGAACTATAATTAATAATAGAATAGTGTACTAAAGTCGTTATTAAGCTTGTTTTTATACAGGCCGATATATTTTAAATAAAAAATTAAAAACATTTTATAGTAAAACTTTTCAGGATTTATCCATAAAATTTGTTTTAAATAAATTTAATAAAATTAAACATAAAGTAAAAAAAATAATAGCATTTAGAACAACATAAGCTTTGAATTAATGTTTCCGATTTAAAATCAAAATATAATAATTATATTTAGATATTTAGCTTGTTTAATTGCTTGGTGTATCGTTAATAACTCTCATAAACAAAAGTGTATAAGAGTATAGAATTGAGGTCATTTCAAATTAACTTCTCATTAATTCAAATAGGTTCAATAACAGTCTGTGATGTTATTGAACCTATTTGATATTAAAAAATCTGTAAAATATGCACAAAATTACCTCAAATTGTACGTGAAACTGAGTAAGACTAGTTTTGGGATCGACTTTTTTTAAACGATTAAGAGTGGGAATAAACTCTGAACAAGTAATTGACGTTTTTTCTGTACATAACGCTTCGATTAAACACTGACACGCCAGGTAATATTGATCCTATAAATAGAAATTAGTGACCGTGGTTAAAATTTTATAATAAAGAATTCTATTAGAAAACAAACACGATATAGAATAAATACCATCGTTTCCACCATATTAATTCTCTGTTGTCTCATTATATGCAATTGTGAAAGCAGATCTACTTGATTTTCGGCCGCTGCCATATCCAACATGCTATCTATTAAAATTAATGTTCCAGTTCGTCCAATTCCGGCACTAAAAGAATAAGTACGTTTATTAATATAAATGAAGTAAAAAGTTGTTATTCAATTCGTTACCTTGTTTATTATTGTGTGTAAAAAACTGCAAATTTAAAATGCACGATGCACGAAATTCTTTGAAATTCAATTACTTGAACTAGTTTTTGTAAGCTAATTATAATTTTTATGGTCGCGTTGACTTAACAGAGCATCAAATAAGGGAGATTTATAAGGGATTTTTATTACAGAACATCATCATCCAGGGTGCATAGTGACAAGACTCGCTATAACATTCGCTGAGATTTTGTGAAACCTTCCATTGATTTATAATTACTAATTTCGTTAAACATTTTGAACGTTTACTAATATACTATTTGTATATAAGATAAATATTTATTTTAACTCGTTATTATATTTTTATTTATTTTAAATTGTAATTTCTTAATCTACTTAATCAAATTATTATTTCTTATATTTCTCTTACCTGCAATGAAACACAATTGGACTTTTGTCTTTGGGCTTATAAGTTCTTGTTTTTAATATAAAATTACTAACTGCTATTGCATACATTGGAACACCGTGATCTGGCCATGTAGTAAAGTGAAATTGCTTAATTTCTCGAACTTCGTTTTCCTGTGAAATAAATACAGCTTCGTCTTAAATACAATAAACAGCTACTTATAAGTGCATGGCATTCGTTGATGTATATGATTATATTTGAAAATCTGTATAAGATAGGCCAGGTAATAACTATAGATTTAAAGATCATATCAAGATGGATGTAATATTACTTTTTATTTACCTTGCTAACGTGGAATGTTCGAATAACATAATCAGCAAATATCTCGGAATTCAATAATGTCACAGTCACGGAACCAAATGTCCCTCTCGAATCCGCCCAATATTTTTCACACTTTGTCTAATTAAAACATAAAAAAACATCAAATACATTATAAATACCACAAATTTAATTTAAAATAAAAAAATAAAATCAAAAATTAAATAACAGTTTTATAAAGGAAAGAATTGAGCGACCTTTCCATTTTCTACTAAATTCGTTGATATGATTATTTTGCAGACTTTTTCCTGCCAAATCATTCTCCAAAAGTCGTTAACAGTTAAAGGTTTGGGACCTTCGATTTAAATTAAATAAAGATCTTTAGCATTTTATGAATTAATTAAACACTTTATAATCGTAAATTTTTTACCTTGAGTAGCGATGTATCTTTTGGAAGATTTATATCCCTATTAATTAAATTTTAAAAAATGTATGTATACTAGCAAGGTTTCGTTCATAAATACTATTTTGAAGCTACTCACATCTATATAATTTGCATTGATATAATCGGAATACGGGTCGTCTGGTAACTTCTCTAAAATAACTCGCGTGGAATCATCTAAAATTTTTATATTTAGAAATAAAATAAGTTTTGGGGATACTATAGATTACCACCTACGGAATTTCGGGACTTTGAGTATATATCTTTACTAAGGGGACCGAGAGGAGTTCAACGATACCCTACTTTTAGACCGGAGACGAAAAATAAGAAAATTATCATACTTTTTTCCGGCGATCGCGAGATGATTGGGAGTCGAGTCACTCTCTCCGCTAAGCCTATCGCGTGTTTAACAGGCAGTTCGGCAAGTCGGCCATATATACCTTTAACATCTTACCACTGTGATTGCAGTTGGAGTTAAGTCCTTTTCGCCTGATCCGCGCTCCTCGATCTCGAGGTGTACGGTCCCTCAGCCTCCGACACGCTCGCTATCGCTCGCGGTCGGCTAGTACTACGCGCCGCTTTCGCTGCTTGTCCAACAAACCTAACCTACATGACCTTTACCGCTAGATGGCGGCAAAATCTGAAATGGCGTAAAATGCACTGTGAAAGACAAGAAANCACTCTTTTTATCCCTTTCTAATTAAACAAAATGTAGAATATAATAACGTAGACCTTCTATACAACTTTACAACTAGAACTGTAGTTCTATCTGCAATAGAAGCTGAGATAATCCGATTTTTAGGATAGGGAAAAATTTGCTGATGCACCAATGAATAGCCCATCCTGGATAATAGGTCTATATGAAATCAAGCATCGTTTACGCGAATCTGATAGTTCTTTCTGAGCTATTAGCCTGGATCACTGTTTAGTGTCAACCTGTATTTATCCGGATTTTCAAATATACGCATAAATTAGCATTTTAAGCGCTGTAAACTCCAAATATACTGTAAATCAAGTTTAGACGTGCTAAGTTCGAATTATAATTTCACTAGAAATATAAGAAATATTAACAATATAATTTAAAGAATCACTGTATTTAAACAAAAATTATAATTATAATTTCAAAACTATAACATTACGAATTCTGAATGAATGTTAGAACATCAACAATGTGTGGACGGAAGATCATCACTAACGAAGTTACTATTGGAAGAGGTTAACATCCATTTTTCGATGCTCGAATCTGAATTTTGAATCCCGGATTCGGTTTATCCTGCTTCACTGTATTTATAAAATTTTAATGAAAAATTTAGAAGTTTTTAAATATCTTTCTATTTGCCTTAATAGAATTTTTTACACGTCTATCATAGGTTTGGCGAGACTTGCAATAGGAGTGATCAGGGAGAAGCATTTACAAAATTGGCAATTTTGACAACTTCATTTAGGGCAGTTTGCAACTTTGCGAACATTTTCTTGTTGGCCAATGCTACCTGAGCTACCTGAGCTACCTTTGAATATCGTTGAGAAGTCCACCATGTCTTCTTTTCGTGGACTTTGCTCCGTCCGATTGACAAAAGAGGTCTTCCTGAATGGAATAATTTGATATGCGCCTAACAAAAACAAGAACATGCGCCAATCAGCTACACTTGTTGATTTGTCGATTCGCAACATATAGTATAAATCATTCTTAACACGACCCACCAATTGGCACTCAACACTACCTGCCATGTGATGAATACGACGCAAAACAGAGTAATTCGAAGTAGGTATGAAGTCCAATAATTTTTTCTGCTTTGTCACCCAGCATGCATACAATATCTTTTACAGCAAGAATAATTAGAAATTCTTCTAACGTGTGTGGCTTTGCTGATTTAGCAAAACGGTAGCTGAGAAAATATGATGCCTTTGGCATCGCTTTGTGTTGCAAAAAACTGATGCAAACAACTTTCCCTCACTTTAAGTTCTTTGTACTTTCTTTTCAAAAAATTTAGTCGACTTATTCACGACATCCGAATGTTTATTGTGAGCTCTCTACAGAATTGATGGTTTCATGAATGGTTTGACAAAACTTCATAGAAGATAACACATTATGGATGACGGTGTTCACTATAAATCCATGTAAATCCAAATTGCAAATATAAAGCGACACATTAGTCACTCTTATGCCTTGTTTCCCATTTTCACTTCTCTCTGTCGCTTCTGGTGATTTGACTGTGTGAATACTGCGAATTTCTTTGGAATTCTCAGGTGTACCCAGAGATGATACAAGCTCAAAGGTTGGGCCTAAATACAAATATTCAACAAGAAACAAATGAGCATCAACAGAATTCACGAAGGAATGTAACCATGACTAACCAATAAGAGTATTGCAATTCCTGTATGTTACCTGTTTATTCTTTGCATTGCTGTCATCCTTTAAAATTAAGGATCCGGTTTTCAGCATTCTTTCATCTTACGAATTACAGACGTCAAAATTCATGTTTTGTACGAATACGAAATTATTTCACAAATCGTTTCCGATTCGCAAATAACAATTAGAATAAATAAACGAAAATTATCCTCACTTTATAAGTTATAAAAAAAGAGCGACACTTGTCGAAGAACGCGAATGACGGTAGCAGCAGCGAGAATTATTAGTCACAACGGCCTGCTTCAACAACGTGGACTGTACACCTACCGCAACTAACCAAATTCACGACTGAGAGGCTATGCTGCTCCACCGAGTAAAGACAGTGAATGACCGTGGGAAAATACTACAGACATAGGAATGCTCTGGTAAGCTGTCCACAATGCGCCTAATTTTCAGCTGTAATCGAGCAGGCCACACGAGAAGGAAGGGCAAATTGCACTTCCCACCACTCCCCCATACCTGCCAACTTTCCTATTGACACTCTTGTATGCAGTGTAGTTGCATTTCTTACGAGTTGCCTGCGTAGATTCAAAAAGAAATTGTCTCCTGACACAGAAGCAGGATAGACCCACTCGCTCATCATCGATATCGTCATAATTCGGAGACTCCCCTTCAGCGATGATGGCTGATCACCCGTAAAAAAACAGGGACGGTCATTTCACCCTTTGGGTCCTCGAATCCCCAACTTTCCCTTTACGTACCGCCAGAATACGCATAATCGTAGTTTAAGAATCATACATTAGAATAAAAAACCCTTGAAAACGTAGAGGAGAAGGTGGTATTATGGAACCCCATTTTCATTATATTGAATTGTAAACAAGGTATCATAACTACACCCACATTTTTTTTGTGCGAAAAGTACTGGTAACTATTAAACTAGATGTTCCTAATTGGATTTTTCGCTAGTGTAATTGTAAGTATGGTTTTTGAAGGCTTCTGTACAAAAAGTCAGAAAATAGGCTTAGGGAAAACAGGGTGGTAATATGGAACCTTACTGTATGTTTTCAAAAATTGCTTTAATGTATTCGAAAACAAATAGGAAAGTAAAAAAAAAAATGTTAAATAATTACAAAATTATTTACTCCAATGTATTTTATCAAAAGAATGCTTTTATAATAGAAAAATATGACCTCCATCAACAATATATATTCCAGAAGCTCTTTTTCGATATTCTCGGGAAGAATTGGCTTTCTACCTAGTGTCTTTTTCACAAATTGCTCCGAACAAATGACTGCTTGCAAAGAGAGTTCGGAAGAGTTGGGTTCCGTATTAAAAGCACCAATGGGGTTTGTATTTCACGCATCGCCATCTTGAATTAACTTATGTCTGTCAAGATCAAACTTTAAAAAACTTGAACATCACACAGATAAATGTACAGATAATATGTACAGTACATCTAAGTCTCCGGAACGGAATACATGCACTAGTGAACCTACAACTACACGATTTATATTTTACAAATAATTAAATTCACTTAGCATTCAAAACTTTCGAATTTCAAAAAACACAAATATGTTGATTCACTACGGACAACTGTTTAACTGAAGTGAAACGAGTTTTTCCCTTGCTATGGATGTCTGCCTTGTGCACTTCAGCCACATTCCGCTACAGTTCACCTTTATTATCAGTTTGAAATTGAGGGGTTCCATAATACCTGCAGTGGTTCCATAATACCATCTTTTCCTCTATTAATATTTTGCGATGAAGTCAGTCGCATCTTCGGAGCACATCTAATTAGTTAAATGAATCACAGTGATTTTTCCTAAGCACTGTCCATTACATCTCATCGAAACCAATAAAGGCAGCGAAAGTCTGATGTCGGCGGATGAATTCATTAATAAATCATTTAGTGGAAAATTTCTATTCACTAATTCGTTAAAAAAAACATTTCAAAATAAAGTTGTAGAGAAGTGTGAATATGTTCTAAATACCATTGACTAGCTAATATTCAATACATAGATTTAGTAAGCATAGAACAGTTAACAATTGGAAAATAGCAGAATTGAAAAATCTTTATAGCGATTAAAAATTTAAAAAAATATCAAAATGTAAATTAAACAAATAAATTTAAATATAGAATTATTTTTTGTATTATATTTATATATAGCTTATTTAAGTTATATAAATGACAAACCTGTAACTGCTTCTGTTAAGTATTTATATCCTAAGCGTTCTTCCTAAAACATTAATAATTAATATGCTAAATTAGTATTATTTATTAACATGAAGAGAATTAATGTAAAAACTATACATTAATTTAATCAATACATTTCAATTTATTTTAAAAGTTATTGAATATCTTTTTGCAACTATTCGAGTAAGTTAATCTGTGTAAATAAACTTAGTAAATTATCAGTTATAATTTTCGTAAGAAGTAAAAAGTTGTACAATACAAATTTTCTTTATTTTAACCAAATACTAAACAATACTTGTAAAATAGCTTAGTGTTAAATGGCATAAAAAAACATGTGTTAAAGCAAATAATAATAATCTTAAAGATAATATTTCATTGTAAGATTTTCTTCTTTAATTTGAAACTTTAGTTTTATTTCTATTGAAATGTAAATGACACAGAATAGATACTAAGATTTCTTTTATTATCTTCAAAGTAATAGATTCGTGTTCTTGTAAGAATTTATTAAAATGATTAAACTTCCATTACTGAAAATTTATATGACATTTATAAATTAAGTTTGCTATAGTTTCTTTATTTAAAACCAAAGTAATATCAAACAAGTTAGAATCTGCTTTTGAATGTTTGATTTCTTTCTTCAAATAATTAAGGTTATTGGTATGTAACAAATATTTCATAGTACATAAAGAATAATTATTAATTGATATTGACCTTGGGGTATGCTCAAATACCCATTTCATATTGCTTCAAAATTCCCCCGTAATTTTTAAAATTTCTAAATTTCGGGGACTATCAGAGTTTCCTAGCTGCAAGGGCTCTCTGAACTCGCCTGAATCTATTCGAAACCGACATTTTAGCAGCTGAATTTTCGAATCTTTCGTTGGTGCACAGTTTAATAGTTCTATTGTTCAGCCCTTAGGTTAGACCGAAAGTCTCCCAAAATAGTTCAAGTTCGAGGGTACCAAAAATATGGGTCCGCAAATGAGTCGACCTCCAATTCGGAGCCAGTCATTTTAAAATTTCAAGTAATAGGTCGTTTGCCGTCATGATATTCTACCAAATAATAAGATATACTTCGTTTAAATAGTCTAAAGCTTTCCCCATCTGAATCAGAGCTGATCAGCCATCTTGTATTTTTCTTGTTAATTTACAGAATAAATTTTAACTGCGTAAAATCAGCTGGTTAACTTATCTGGCAGTTCATCTCCTAAGTTTCATGCTTGTTCGATTCGCTGATAATAACTCGATAAATTAAAGTGCATTTGAAGTTTAGATTAAAACTCGTATAACTGCCCCTAAATATAAAATTCATACGGCTTAAGTTTATAATAATAATTATGTATGTAGATATCTTACCCCGTTGAATTCACTTAGTACAGCTAATCCGATTTTATATTCTTCTCCGGTAGTAAGAGGAGCGTTGTAATAACCGTTATAATGTTTTCCATCTCCTACAGTAAAGTCTATTCCAGTAGAAGATATCTCATTGGGATAAAATTTGGCAGCGACATAATCTTCTCTGGATTCGTTATAACTAAGCAATTTTTTCTCTTCTACAACTCTCTTTTTTCTTCTATTCTGTTTTTCCACCATCACGAAATATGCACTGAAATTACATATCAATGTAAATGTTATTATAAAAGCCTTTTTTCTTAAATTTTATATACAGTGCATGAATAATGATAAAATATGACATAATTTAGATGCCGGATTCCCGATTAACTGTATAGCGTAATTTTAAAATTATGATTAAAAGATACAGATTGGCATTGTGACGATGTCACAGTAAATAATTATCTTTTATTCTATTTTTGAAGCTTAATATAATATGATAAAAAATAAATGTTTATTTATTTGTCACTATATTTAATAAAATTAGATCGATAAATAAGAAACACCCAAAATATAAAGTTTAAAGCACGAATGAGTGTCGAAAGAAATCAAAATTCAGATGGAAATAATATTTTTTCCTAAACGGGATCCAAATTCATTCTTTCTTTGGATAATGTATATGGCATTTTGGGTTATAATGTCAGTCTCCCCTATTCAGTTAATATATAAAAATATGAAATACAAGTATTTTTATTATTTCAAATTAAATATCAATTAATATTACTCACCTGACAGGCCCTCCATTAAAATGAATTGGTTTTATTAAAATAACTACTGTCGTATCTGTAACATTACTAACTGTAGGTTCGACATCAATAACTGGTACTAGAATGAAAAATACAAGTAAAATTATTGATAACGATATAAACTGCATGAATTAAAATAAATTTTGCAATTATTTAAATCAAATTCGGTAGTTTGTAATTTGGATTAATATCTCGTACTGGCGACATACCAGAAACTTTTGTTGTAAACTGAAAATAAAGAGGTTTCCCGTAACCAATTTTGGTACTAGCTTCTATGGTACCATTATACTTAGTAGCTGGGTGCAAATTAATAAATGTACAGCTTCTAGTGTTAGGATTTGTTAACTTCTCTTGTGTGCTTCCTATAATACTATTATTGAAGGACTCTGCTACAGTGATGTTTATCTATAAATAATAAAATAAAATTTACTGTTTTTATTAGAATTTTTAAAAATAAATAAGAATTATTTCTCAAAGAAGAAAATAAAACAATTTAATTCCAAACGTGAAGTTTTAGGTTGTTATATTTTTAACATGTTACATACGGCAAGAATTATTGATTTAAATATATTAATAATATGAAAAAATATACCCTGTATCCAGTCAATTGTCCATTTGATCTTACGGGTAAAGACCAGATAATATCCACCGAATGTTCCGTAATATTAGCTATTTCTGTCTCTTTAGGTGGATCTGGTACTAAAATTATGAAAATAAATCTGAAAATCAACTTATTTCATAGATATTTAAGTTATATTTATATAAATAGCAAGAATTAAAGAAAAGACATAAAACAAATAATAATTTCTGTTTACCATATTCTTTTGTTTCACCACTTGTAGTGACTGTTTCACTTCCGCCATAAATGTGTTCGTTATATGCTGTGATCTTAATTATAAATATGATGAACATATAAGTAATAATGGAAAATGGTATAGATTAAAATTATATGGAAAGCTAAAGTTAGTTAAATAAGGTTGGAAACAGGAAATAAGTTATATAGACCATAGAGTTCTTTAGAATTTTGCGTGTTATTGTTATTGCTATTTTGCTTTTATCTAAGGGTTTGTTATTGGGGGCAGCTCTTTCTTGTCTGCTGGACAATACCTGCATTAATTAAAAAACATATATATATATATATATTCACACTAAAAATACCTCAGTATTTAAAATACTAAAGAATTTTTATTTCAAATGTACGGTAGTTGCCTAGTAAAGATTATTCTTGAATTTCTGGATGAAATCATTTTTCACATTTAATCGAATCTCGACTCTTATAGTAGTTTTTAAAACACAGATATAAAAATCCTCGAGAAAAGTTAAGTAAGTTATATATTTGAAATGTGAAAACCCTTGTCTTATAGTAGCTACTTGGACATGAGCTTCTAGGCTATATGGCCTCGTGGTAAAGTGTGACGTTATTCTCGTGTAATAGTAGTTGTATGCGTTTATGATAGTCGTAACGTGGGGAGTAATGCTTTCCGGGAGGTATATTTAAAAATAACTGGCCTCTGTTCAGAGATACAGACGTGGAGAAAACCCGGAAAACTCCACGTGGGCAGTCCGTCCTGGCGAGGCGCGAACCCAGAACACTGGGGAATTCTGAGTGTTTAGGGAATAAAACCGCTTGGCCACTGATGGGTGTGAAAACCTTTCGTGTACAGTACGTGTGATCCCCAGGCATTATCTAATTAGTTCTAACGAGATACAGGCAGTTTACTTACCGTGTTTCCCCGAAAATAAGACATCCGCAGAAAATAACACCTAGCACAGATTTTGCTGAATTGCGAAATATAAGACCTCCCCCTGAAAGTAAGACCTAGCGAAGTTTTTTTTAGTCGTAACGGTCAT